AGTAGTCATGGCATTATTGATCATTGAATATACATGATTTTCAGCAAAATAAAATTCTTAATGTATGTGAATGAATGTCCATATTTAAACTGAGCCCATGGGTTTATGGAGTGGATCAAAGATCCTGTAAGGGGCAATAGGAAAAAAAAGTTGAAAACCTCTGACTTATAGCTACACTACCAATAGGTAAAACCTCTTGTCTTATCAATTGCCAAGCTATTGTCAACTTGGCAATTATTAAACAGGAGCTATTGTCAACATGGAATTGATTACAATAGCTCCTGTCCAATCAGTGCCTAGATGACAATAGCTCCTGTCCAATCAATGCCTAGATGACAATAGCTTCAACCCCTTTCTTCGACATAGTCTTGAAATGAAAGATCAGTTTAGTCCAAATCTTAGCAGGACTCCTAAATCATTAATGTAAAGTGAAGCTGGTTTAGTGTAATAGTGAGCTCGTGCAGTTGGTTTAACAATTCAATTAAATTTCTATAGTTATGCCACAGATGAAAAATACTGCATAAGGATTTTAATATATATTTATACATTCATAACTTGAATACATAAATTTCTATATTAGCAAATCAAGAGACAAACAAAACATATCAATACAAAACTTAAAATTGTTTGAAGACCTTGTGACGTTAATTAAATGGTAGTAAAAAAGCAGGCATACTTGGTTTAAAAAACACAATGATATATCATTTCATCATTCCTTTTACCATATTTTACAACAATAAAATTTCAATAACAAATCATTTATATAAAAAAAATCTGAAAATATATGGATAATATGTCAAACTGGTACCAAAATTTTATTCCAATAACCAAATTTTTACATCCAATATGATATTTTAGAAAAAATAACTAAAATTAAAGTTATTAACCTGTACCATTATGTATTTCAATAACAAATCCTTTATATAACTTATGATACAGCAAAAAAAAATGACTTAATCTTTATAATAACAAATACCTATCATACAACAATGAATAATGGTTAATTTTTATGAAAAATATAATGAGCCTACCCTAATATATTCCAATAACAAATATATTATATGATTTATGATACAATAAAAAGAATAACAAATTTTGTTATTTTAACTCATAATTCATATTAATTGACTAATTGTAGTATAGCCTAATATGTAATATATAACATACCTTTAATATAATATAATTGTGTTATTTCAACATAATAATTATTATATTAAATTTATAACTTAAAGTTTAAAAGAAGTAAAGTAAAGGAAATTGATTGACTATAACAGCAATATTTCATATCTTGATAAAGGAACAGATTTAACATAAATATATATCTAAAGATGGATTATTAAGTAAAAATTGATGACATGCATGAATATTTGGTATTATTTAATACAAACAAACATACCTTATGATGTACATAAAAATTTTGAAGAAGTAAAAATTTGAAGTGATAATGATTTCTTTTAGTTAAAAGTGTTTATTAAAGATATTTAGTGGGCCTTATATTGTAATTTGCAAGAGTGTTACTTATGAAACATAATCATAATATATGAGCATTTAAAATTTCAACAATTGCTAGATTTTGGCAGTTAAAGTATGATAACCAATTTTGTCTGTGAAATATTAAAATATGATGTCTCTATCAAAATATGCCTTAATATCTGTAATAAAGAAGAGGCACTAGTGAAGTGGACTGTTATAAAACATAGGCACTTTTACTATATTTAAAACACTGGTTAACTAGGAACAGTGAAGCCCATTTCTTCTAAAATTGATTTTGGTTCGTCACTCTCCTGAAAAGAAAATAAGAAAAGGGTTAGGCTGAATTTTACTTCAAAATATTTTAAAATTTGATAATGCATCTATGATAAGCTATTATTGCAATTATATAGAGCCTAGAACCATCATAGGAATGATACCTTATTCACCATTACAGGCATGAAATATATATAAAGCTAAGACTAAAAAAAATAGCTAGAGGCTTGAAAAAATGTTTGAAAATTTATTGATTATATTTATATTATCAGAATCTTTAAATAAGAAATATTTGACTACTGTCTAAAATCTATTGTAAAGTAAAATTAAGGCAGGTACAGAAATGTCAAAAGTAATTTACAGCAGAACTGAATTTTCTACATAAAGCAAAGCAATCACACTGCAATATTTTAATCTTTGTAAAACCAAGCTGAATTTAATATACTCATTAATAAAGGAAACACTAGTCATTCCAGTTAAATTTGTAAACGCAAGAAAGTATCTATTATTATTGAAAACTTTTTAATGATGACCAATAATTAAAAAAAATTTGGGCATTTCTTTTGTTGACTTGAGCACATAATCTTATGTGTTGTAGCTAATAATTTAATAATTTTTGTAGCATGATTTTCAGACCAATTTGAATAGCTCATGTTGGGTTAAGTGGGTTCAATCCACCTCAATGTAAAAAAATTCTGATGCCACAGCCAGTGCTTCAGGCATTGGATTTAAATCCTACAGAGCGTTAATATAGGTTGAATCCTGATTTCACAAGGAAAAAATTACAGTGTGATTACTTCAGTGAACCTGCAGAATAAAATAATATCAACAGTGCACACCAAGGCATAGCAAACTGTGAAAAAATAGTGTACAAAACTACATTACTCACAAAAAAACACAAAATATCACAATAGAGAAAGAAACCTGAACATAACTACAATGCATATTAATCAGAATAAAAAAACTTAAACATAAAAGTAATGAATAACAGATTGTATACAAATAAAATTTAATTTTGGGTTATTTTCATAAAACAAAAGAATGTAGAAATCGGTAAGCATATAAAGTTTTAAATCTTGCTCAATCTTGGACATTAAAATATTTTCTGGATTATTCCACTTGGAGGTTTGATCAAAGATTTTATTTCATAGATAAGGATTTATTTAATCCATTATTTAGGTAAAGAGACCAGAATTTTTAAGTCCACTCTCCTGGTAGACAAGGGTTAACTATGTAAATGCTAATTTTCTCATAATAATTTGTAGCATTATCACAATATAAACCTCTTAACCTTTATTTTAAAATTTAAGCGAAGCAGAAGTATTCATTAATAAGCTTAAATTTAGATTCATATCACTTGTAACAAGCAATCTGCAATGTCATTCAGATTGGAATCAGTGGTATTGGCAGTAGGCAACTTATTAGTGAGAAAAAATTATTGGTTAATTGTACTTTCTTTCTTATCTGAAATTCAACAAAGGCAACTTTACTTAAAATTAAAAGCAGAGATGAACTCTTCAAAAATGAAAACAGAATTAAACCAAGTATGAACTCTTCAAAAAAGGAAAACAAGATTGAACCAGATTTAGATGAAGTATGAAACAATAAAGCAGACATATACACACAGAAAGCAAGCAAGGAGGTTTCCCAAGGTTTCTTTGAGATTAAAAATAAAACTATTAGCAAATATAAAAATTGTTAAATAACAAAATATTAGACAGAACTAAGACAAAAAAAAATGATAAAATTTGCCTTTAATGTAGTTTTATCTTCTGCCGTAATAAACAAAGTAAATGGAGTATTACATCCAACAAATCAAACATATCTTCTACATGTACCATAAGAGAATTGAGTTCTCTTCTACTGTGCTGCTAGTTGGCCTGCTTCAGAATCAAGTACCATAACATGACCATCAATACAAGCTTATTATCATTCATTATCATTTCTTAATTCCAACACAAATCAGTTTGGCAAGGGCAGGATTGCTAGGCATTTGGATATTCTGAGGCATATCTGTATTTGACAGTACCTAAGATAATGAACCAAATTAGTGAGCTCAATAGAATGTTGGCAATGATCTTATGAGCTATCTGATTTTTCCCATAGGGATGCCAAGTTGACAAACTTAGCTAAGGAACCAAACTACGTATTTCTTATGACCATCCATGAGTCACTGGTATTTTTACCATTATAAATCATAAGCACTTAAAAGAATACTATGTCTTAGAATGAACATATAATTTTAGAATTTTAAACTTAGAAAATAAGACTATATATTCATCAGTAGTTATACCTGGTGTCATAAATAACATAACAGGATCCTTATATAATCCAATAAATCCAAAAAACTTAGTAATTATCCATAAATATGCAATTAACTATTTAAAGACGCTTGATATTAAGATTAAGCGTTTTTCAATAATTACTTAATTTTATGAATTTTCCAATTTTGCTGATTTTACAGGGATTCTGTTGTAACTTTATGACACCAGGTAAGTTAACTGATGAATATATAATCATATTGACCATTCTTGAGAACTTAAATTTTATGTTCATAAGACGTAGTATCACTTGAAGTTTGTGGCAATTATCATAACCATATTTTAACATATAATTTTATTATGCACCAAATGATTACAAACACAAAAAATACATAACTTAGTTTGCAAAAAAGTTACATCTTTTGTCAAAATTTTTTATAACTATCAAGTTATAAAATACATGTTAACATACAACAAAATAAAGTAGAATAGCACAAAATTCAAAATAGTTTGTCTAAATAGAAAAACACAAGGATGTTGTTCACTAGACACATATGAAGGCAGTTACTTTTCAAAAACAGCATATTATTAGCTTATCTGATTTTTTTAAAGTAAATTCTCAACCTTAGGCCTAGTATTATTAGGATACCTATAAAATCTTCAGTACATAAAATGGAATGTAACAGATCACCAGATAGTAATGTAATAAAAAGGGTTTCAGTAGAGGTTATCTTGGTTGTGTTAAGGTGCTGACACATGAGCAGTCTTTGTCAGAGATTTTTGTCGCCGATTAGAGCCTTGAGAAAAATCTCAATACTTTCACAACAAGATTATAACGTCCCCGGGTTTTGTCTCCTCGTGTGCCTGTGCTAGTCGTTGAAACTCAAGACAAGACTCTAATCTGCGACAAAAGTCTCCGACCAAGACCTCTCATGTGCCCGCACCTTCAGTATACACAATATATTAGATAAAAGCTAAATAACCCCCTTTAATTTTTTATAGTGATGAGTGCAACAATGTAACATCTGGATAAGTCCAATGTGAACTAAGAAACACAACCATTCTTGTTGAAAATAAATTAGGTAAAATATGTAAATTGAGCAGAAAATATCACTAATAGTTAGACAAGAAATAAATGCAAAAACAAATTCTGAATGCATCTAAAAAGGATATATCTTGGGCACATTAAAGATTTCAAAAATATAAGAAATTACTGAATGGATAACCACAATTAGGTCAAATTCTAACTAGTTTTTAGAAAACTACCAAACATTTTTTTTGAGAAATTGTAATATGTTTCACATGAAGTTTCCACTTAATTAATTAAAATTAACTTCGAACTAATTCTTCTTCTTTGTTTAAAGACATTCTCATATATGCATGAATTTATCTTCGTCTAACTATAAAACTTTCGCCAATATTTCACTTTATACCTAAAACAAGGGCAATAATCTTCACATAGAACAAATTTTACTTTGCATTCACTTCTTGCCTCTTACAACAAAATATACATGTTATTAATTAAGAATTCAGACCACAATCATTTTATTGTTAGTCTCTCGAATTCAGACCACTATCATTTTATTGTTAGTCTCTTTAGAATCAGGTGGCCCATTTAATAAATATGGTTTACAAAAAACACCCTAACATATTGTCCTGCCTTCTATAACATATTGCTATTAAATTACTCATTGGTACAAAAAAAAAACCATCTACTTTAGGCTTACAACTGAACACTGGGCACAGGTAAACACTGAAATTGTCATGAATTATGCAAGTTTGCAGAAATCTTTTGATATAACAGCTAGTGCTTGATGATGGCTTTCACCCCTCCCACTAGCCATTTGGGCATAAATATTTGAGGAAAAAGCTTAAATGTCTAATTCAAAAACAGATTATTAGTTGCCCAATCTGTAATGATAAACATTTATAAAATGACATGGCTTACCAGAGACTAACTATGAATGTTGGACATGGATTTGCTTAACACTTTATAAATATATATAGTTGTCATATTTTGAATAAGGATATTATTATGCATCTAATGTATATGTCATCTATATTGGAGACAAAAAATAATTTAAATATTTAAGACTGGCATTAAGCGATTTTTCAAAAAAAGTCACACCAATGTGACAGTAAGCTTCTATGGAACTAGTCCTGAACGAATAGGGTTATTGATTATTATCATTTTGTCAGATTGGGAAAAAAATGCATTATTTATTGTCAAAATCGACCCAAAATGTCTCCTCTGTGTCTAACTAAAAGATAGGACACAAAGAATTCATAGAATAATACTTAAAGAAATATTAATTTGACAAACTAGAAGTCTAAATAGTTGATTTGATTTCTTCATTAGCACAAGTTTGCTTGCATTTTTTCTTCATGAATACCTCTATTTTGAATTGAAATTCATTATATATTATATTCCATTTAATTCATGGGAATTTCTTAAGCTCATACTACTCAGTAATCTCTCTAAGTGGACATACAAAATGTAAGGCAACAAGATATGAACACTTTCTATTTCTGTATTTGAATAGACCAATGGTCTTTAGTAATATAATTAGAATTTTTATATAAAATATACTCACTTACACAATATATTAATTAATAAAATGCCCAATTGATAATGTAACATTTTTATGTAATTTTGAAGCAAAAAAGAAAAAAAAAATATTGTATAGTTTAAATACTATGAAATCATTTATATTTGTGGGCGATCAATTTTCGTGGATTTTGTGGGTCCCCGTAAACTATAAACACAACATTTCTGTGAGGGATGTTATTTTAGCCTTATAATAAGAAAATAAGGTAGTAAAATGAAAAATAAAAGAATTTTAAAGTTATGGAAAAACGTGATTCTGTTAAAAAAATTAGATCCACAAATAAACATCCTTCTGAATACGTTTCTGAAGAAATAACATAAAATTTGATGCCCACAAAAATAAATGATCTCACAGTACATGTAGTTAATGAATTTCACTAAATGCACTAAATGTTTCTGTGAACAGCCACTTTAACCTAATCCATGATCATCAAAGAAGCCTTGGGGGGTCTCCTCCTGTTTAAAGTAAAGAAACAGATTATGACAATTAAGAGCTAGAAAAACATACATGATTGCAACAAACAAAACACTTAATATAAGCTGGCAATGACAGTTGCTGCCAAATCTTATTTTGGCACCAAAGAAATCCGAAAGTTTAGATTTAAGAACTAAAATGCAAAGAAGAGCAATGAGAATTTTTCTTTGAAAATGGAATTTGGGTTGTAACATCAGGAATCTAAGATTCATAAAATATGCCTGTCAAAATTTACCCGTCTTTTTTTTCAACAAAAACTGCAAAGAGCAGCTCACAAAAAATAACATGAAAATACATAAATTAACAAACATTTGTCTAAAAATACAATAATCAAAAGAGTTAGTTTCAAAACTGGAAAACAAAACAAAAACGACAAATGGAAATTATCAGCTAGTATGCTTAACAGTTGCAGACACACTTGATAATATCCCACAATGCTACTCATCTGCAATGCAAAATCTACCTTTAAAACTAAAGAGTGGACGGATGCTTTTAGTTGTGAAAGAAGTTATACTAAACCATATTCTTTTAATGCAGATTCTATTGCATCATCCTTAAGGAAATTAAAGCAAAGACATGACATATGAAACATAGTGTATGTTGCTCAAAATTCATAAGAAGTAAAGTTTAAGTTTTAGATCATAACCAGCTAGAAAATTAAATCACAGCAGAAATGATAAAAAAAAAACATAGCCAAACTAAAGACAATATGATAAATAAGGCTCCTATTGAGATTCAATATTAACGAGTTTGTCATTTTAGCATGCAGAATGGAGAAACTTCTATCTTTTTCATTAAAAATCTATTTTATTATAGGAAGTTAAAAAAGTTAAATATGTTTCAAATTTAAAAAAAAAATCCAATACATGTACTTTGATCATGTACCTCCATACAAAGTCTTATGAACACCAGTTGAAACTAAAGAACCTATTGCATTTTCACTATTCGAGTTCAATTTGAATGAGAGATGTGGACTGGAAGTGTACAGAAAAACATGTATTTTCATACATGTAACTTTTATCGCAAGAAAAGATTCAAAACATAACATCAAAATGGCTCAAAACACTTCGTTGTTCTGCTAACTCTTAGTAATAATCTTGATTTATCGGATTATACAGAGATTCTGTTGTATAGTTATGACACTATGTAAGTCCACTAATGAACATATAATCTTATTGGCTAACGTTGGATGTTTCCAGTATTCTATTAATCATACATTATGTAATTTCAATTAACTTTGTGGATCCAAAATAATGCCAAGTTTTTCAAATTGGGAATTTTTCAATGATTTCTGGATTTAGAATGCAACTGAATATTGGCCCCTGACAACACCTAGAATAAGCTTGATTATAATATATCTATTAAAAATAATGGATATCACAGTTATTAAAGCTAACATATGTAAACTTACCTCTTGTAAAAGATCTTGTGCTGCAATGGCCTTTAATACATTCTTTTTACTAGTTTCTTGTACTTCACCTCCTAATAGGAATTCATCTAACATAAAATAGGCTTTCTCAAAATTAAAGATGATATCTAATTCACATACCTGAAATCATCAAAGAGATTTGTTTTAATTTCAGTTCTAAGTATAGCAAACAATTTCTCAGTAACCTTGCTGGGGGATTTCAACCTTCTTCTTTATAATTCCCCCAATTAATCCTTAATATTACCCTCTTCCCCTATAAATCCTTACTATTTCCCCTATTCCCCTATATAATAAATCCTTAATATTACCCCTCTACCCCTATAAATCCTTACTATTTCCCCTCTTCCCCTAATAAATCCTTACTATTACCACCTTCTCCCAATAAATCCATACTATTTCCCCTCTTCCCCCTATAAATCCTTACTTTTTCTTGATATTATCTTAGGTTTTCTCAGTAATCTGTCAGAGAATATAGCCTAACTGAATAAAACAACTTAAATTATAATTGTCCAAAAAGAATATTCTACACTAAAAAGCACCGCATTACCCCCAAAAAAATTCAAAATTTCCCTCAGGTGGAAAGTCCCTGCCCTAGCTCTTAGTTTGGGTGATAATGACAAAGGTGACCAAGATGGACGTCTGAATCATGTTTTTGGTAGTCAAGACTGACATTTAGACTTTTGAAAACCAAAAACTGGACCAACTGCTATTGATGTCAATATTTACTTGAAACAAACTACCAAGACTTGTATACACCTATTTCTTTTGCTACAATTTATCTTAAGCTTACATAAACATATTGCGCTTTTACTATATTTTGGAAATTGCTTTGCTTTGCACAGTTCCACGTAAAAATTGATACTTACACTTCCAAAATATTTATCTAAAAGTTCCACATAACGATGTATTATTTCTAATGTTAGTAATTCATTATCTTCTGGTTCAATGGCACAACAAAAATATAAACTAGCATATCTGAAAGGAAAAATTTATATATCTAACTAGTATAACATGAAAATACACCGAAATATAATGTATTAAAAGTAGCATATCAGAAAATACACAATAATATCTCTAATTAACTAACATAATATATCTGAAACAAATTTCTATTTTTACATCTAAAAAAGCATATAAAATACCTTTTATAAACAACTTTGAGATCTTTCCATTCTAGAAAACTGCACATCTTGGGTTTTCGTCCTAATACTAATGTCACAAGCTCTCTGGTGATCTTCTTTTTGACTTTATCAGTGTGAGCTACAAACCACTTCTGTAATCTTAACTTCCCTTGTCGACTGAACAGTAGCATAAACTGCATCTGGCAAAAAAAATCATTAATAAAATTATTTTCTCCATCAATTATGTTAATTTGAATTATTAGATATCATCATATATATATTTATATAATAATGAAGGCCTTAATTTGACCTTTTAAAGGCTTTTTGTGTGGAGCTCTCACGACTCAAGTTTGGTCAACAAATATTTTGATGATTAATTTGATTGCAGGCAGTTTTTGATTATAAGCTGGATCAAACACTATCCAGGGACTGGTAAGAGTCAGTACGGTTCAGACTTGATGGTCAATGACTTTGTCAGTCTGTGTCATCACCACCTGTGACAGTGTCGATTTAGAAAACAGTGCCAGTGCCAATAGAGACAACACATAAAATGACAAAACAGGGCGAGGCCAAGAAAATCTAGCATAGAATGAGCATTGTACACAAAACTGGTAATTTGAAAATTAATATTCGAAACACCTACCATCTTGACGGCGTTGTTTGGATCGTTTCAACAATTTAGATTCAACAAATTAATAATTTATCCACTCGATCAAATACGCCGATGCCACCTTACAACTTCCGTGTGAACAACGTCATCACTATTTGATTAGTGCGTTCGCGCGATATCGAAAAGCATTGGAGAGTTACCAAACGAAATTTAATATTGTTTCAAAACAACTAATTTGAATATAATAATGTTTTAAGAAAACAAATTTTGAAAATTATTCACAAAACAGGTGCAATATTGCTTGAAGCCTATATGAGAAACGATTACCGAACGAACGCATATTACAAGCACGTAAATTGTGACGTATTTCACATCACCTGTGAAAATAATCACAAATTAAATATTGTTAGCCTTGAATTGCTCCAAATTTTATAATTGTTATCGCATGACAGTTTTTGAAAATTAACCACAGAGATTCCGTCTCTTGATATCTATCGCATAGGGATCTTTGATTTTGTTAGTCATTAGTAGATTACATAAATGATAATATCATAAGTTACATAATCTGGCCTAGCCTAGTAATCTTTGAACTGGAGTCAGTGGAGAATTAAGAGTTCAACCACAGATTACAAACATGTCGATTTTCCGTAACACTGTGTGGTTTATTAAAGGAATGAGAGAATATACTAAGTAAGTATTGAATTAATTTAATGTTGCATTTGAATTATTATTAGGCACAGTTGACAGCATAGAAATACAGCAGCCGTCATTTGAAAAAAATGTTCTATAATTACAACAGACTTCACGTCTCATGCCATGGTTTCCATAACAATAGTTACTTCCTTTAGATTAATAGGCTACATACATAGGATTTGATTCTGAGCCCAAAGCAATGGCCTATAATTTGTTGACATCTTCTTTTTCCATACTTACATAAATCAGGGTCAGTTAAGTAGAATTTTGATATCTTTTTTTTAAATAGAAATGGCTTTGTATCAGCTAGTAAGAGTTTTAATGAGAAAGATTTAGAGGTAGATGTTACAGGTCGAAGTTTCATGATAACAGGTGCTAATAGTGGAATCGGAAAATGTGCTGCCATAGAAATTGCTAAGAGAGGTATTATTGAATATTGTATATGAAAACATGGGATATAACTTTTGATAATTGCCTTATTTTTATAAATAATTTCAGACTTTGTTGGTTTGCAATAAGACGAACAAATGAATTTTCTCTTGATGTATTAATTCTATACAATAATTCTAATTCTATGCAAAATATCTTGGTTATCCTTGTTTCAAAATTGTAAACATCGGCTCATAAACTTTTGAAAGCCGCATAGAATTCGACATGATTAACATAGTCTTTTTCCAACAGGGGGAACTATTCATATGGTATGTAGAGATCAGAAACGTGGAGAAGAAGCATTAAATGAAATCAAGTCAACCTCAGGAAATTCTGTAAGTTACTGTAAGATTTAGGAATGAAACTGAATAGTTTGCTGGGTTTTTCCATTCAATTCATACTTGTGTACATAAAACAAGCTCATTTATTTTTGATAAGCTTAACTTTTGTAAAGTGTGTTCATGTTTAAAAAGGTTTTGGATAATATAACATGGATGTATGTAAATAGATTGTATTGTTTTATTTTTTCAGAATATCAAATTGCATCAGTTAGATATGTCTTTACCATCTGAAGTTTTAAAATTTACGAAAAATTTTGAAAAAAGTGGTGAAAAATTGAATGTTTTGGTAGGTTTTTAATACTTGATATAATACTATACTATATAATTCTTAATACTATAATAATAGGACTTAAATAATACGGAAAAGATCAATTATTTCATTAACATTTTCTGTGAAAATACATTGCTATCACTCATTCCTGTTGCTATTTATATTTTATTTATTTCCTTCCCATTTATTAAGAAAGGAATTGCTATATTTTAGATTAATAATGCAGGCTGTATGATAGTGTTGTGATATTATTTTAGATTAATAATGCAGGCTGTATGATAGTGTTGTGATATTATTTTAGATTAATAATGCAGGCTGTATGATAGTGTTGTGATATTATTTTAGATTAATAATGCAGGCTGTATGATAGTGTTGTGATATTATTTTAGATTAATAATGCAGGCTGTATGATAGTGTTGTGATATTATTTTAGATTAATAATGCAGGCTGTATGATAGTGTTCTATTATTTTAGATTAATAATGCAGGCTGTATGATAGTGTTGTGATATTATTTTAGATTAATAATGCAGGCTGTATGATAGTGTTCTATTATTTTAGATTAATAATGCAGGCTGTATGATAGTGTTCTATTATTTTAGATTAATAATGCAGGCTGTATGATAGTGTTGTGATATTATTTTAGATTAATAATGCAGGCTGTATGATAGTGTTGTGATATTATTTTAGATTAATAATGCAGGCTGTATGATAGTGTTGTGATATTATTTTAGATTAATAATGCAGGCTGTATGATAGTGTTCTATTATTTTAGATTAATAATGCAGGCTGTATGATAGTGTTGTGATATTATTTTAGATTAATAATGCAGGCTGTATGATAGTGTTCTATTATTTTAGATTAATAATGCAGGCTGTATGATAGTGTTCTATTATTTTAGATTAATAATGCAGGCTGTATGATAGTGTTCTATTATTTTAGATTAATAATGCAGGCTGTATGATAGTGTTGTGATATTATTTTAGATTAATAATGCAGGCTGTATGATAGTGTTCTATTATATTATTTTAGATTAATAATGCAGGCTGTATGATAGTGTTGTGATATTATTTTAGATTAATAATGCAGACTGTATGATAGTGTTGTGATATTATTTTAGATTAATAATGCAGGCTGTATGATAGTGTTGTGATATTATTTTAGATTAATAATGCAGGCTGTATGATAGTGTTCTATTATATTATTTTAGATTAATAATGCAGGCTGTATGATAGTGTTGTGATATTATTTTAGATTAATAATGTAGGCTGTATGATAGTGTTATATTATTTTAGATTAATAATGGAGGTTGTATGATAAGTGTTATATTATTTTAGATTAATAATGGAGCTTGTATGATTAGTGTTATATTATTTTAGATAAATAATGCAGGCTGTATGATTAATGAACAACAGTTAACAGAGGAAGGCTATGATAAAAATTTTGCTACCAATACATTGGGTAAGTTTATGGTTGTTTATGAAGATAGATCTGGTGTCATTTATTGTTTTGGACTTTCCTCATGATGTTAGCCTGTTTGATGAGTGTGGGCACCATAAATTGTAAAATCATAGCAAAATAAGTGGGAAAGCTGAACAATAGCTCTGGTCAGACCATGTTAAAGATTGCTTAGCTCCCAATTAAATGAATTTGTTTTTGCTTTTTTCAATTCATTTTGCTTAAATTACTTTCTCTCTATTTGTAATATAGGTACTCATATATTAACAGTTGGTTTAACTCCTGTATTATTAAACAGTGAGGACCCTAGAGTTGTAAGTTTAGATTTTTGTTCACCAAAACTGCTTTCTTATACAGTCTTATTTTAAAATGTCTTAATGCCACCACAACAAGTGGGAGACACTATATGACTACTTTAATTCTAACTAATTTGCACTTTTTAACTCTTTTCTGTATTGGTTAGGTAATGGATTTTCATATCAAAACTTGGAGGAAATGAAGTGAACTTACTGGTATTGAACAGGTGAAAAACATAGTCAATAACTTGAAAATTTCAAAAAAAATTTAGTTTTATATTTTCAAGATCAATCTTTTTTTTAATTAGTGAATTATGAATAAGTAATTATTTATGTCTTTCAATATTTAGATTATTGTGACCTCTGGTGGAATGCTTGTCCAAAAATTAAATATCCAGGATTTACAATGTTTTAAATTAAAACCATATGATGGTACTATGGTGTATGCTCAAAATAAACGTCAACAAGTTGTTATGGCTGAACAATATAAAAATAGATATCCAACAATTCATTTCTCTTGTATGCATCCAGGCTGGGCAGACACACCAGGTAATTATGTAAGAATTAAACGTTGGTCTCACTAGCATTATTGGTGTTTAAACGCAGTTGATCACGTGACAAAATGAATAAATGAAGTTTACACACCAATAATGCTAGTGAGACCAACGTTTAATTCTTATATTTATATTCAGATACTTTTAACATTTTTTTCACTATTTTTATATGATTGGTTTCTTGAATTTGTCACAAATCTTAAATTGAATCATAGTTGTGCTTTGATGACGTCAAATACTTAGACATATTTTTGAGGACATTTTCATTATTACCATTACAGCTGTAAGATCAGCAATGCCTGATTTCTATGAGAAAATGAAAGATAGGTTAAGAACAGCTGAACAAGGAGCAGATACTTTAATATGGTTAGCAGTGAGATCAAATATACATCAATTACCTAGTGGTGAATTCTTTCAAGGTAAACTATAATATCTCAACATAGATATGTCTTATATTATAGCAACCTCATAGTTAGACTGACATAGTCAACCAGCTGTAGTCTTTGGTCAAAGTGTTTTGCAATGGTCTCTTTCTTTGATTTCTATGCTTTGCTATGTAGCCTACGTATAGTTTTTGGGATAAGTGATTCGTTTCATTTATTAGATTCAATCCTATGACCAATCAGTATCTGAACGTGCAAGACCGTTCTACTGTGGCAGGTATTGCTAGTGGGGAAGGAATTGTTAAGTCTTCTTGAACACCAAATGGGATTGGGTAAATCTACTTGTCATCCATATAAGAGAGTTCACATAGATAATTTTGTATTTTGGTATATTTATTCCTGTACCTATACTAAGTAACCTGTAGTGTATATTGTACTAAAAATCTTCTTTCTATAGGTTCCATAGCTCAGTCGATTGTATGACATCATTTGCTTGGTTATGTCAAGCAAATGGCGGCTGTGGGTTCCGATCTCAATCGGCATGTGAAAGTCTGATGACCTTGAATAAGTCATTTTCACTCAAAATTCCAGTCAACCCAGCTGTAAATGGGTACGGATAATCCGGGAAAGATCTATGTTAAGAGGTTTGGCCAAAGATCAGCTGGTAGAAAGGATCCTCAACTTTGTAAAATATAGTTGTTTCTTTCTTTCATTTCTTACTAACTAGTCACACGGTAGTGAGATATTTATTTTCTAATGTTTCAGATCGACAAGTAGTAAATAAACATCTACCATTAGCCTGGACTAAAACATCTGATACAGATAACCTAGAGTTAATGTCTGTTTTAGATAAAATGATGCAAGCTTTACCCAAGGATTAAGAACTGTACTGATGGACAAATATATCACATAAATCATAAATTTAATATGTCTCAAACCTTTTGATATTATTGTAAAACAAATGAAATGAATATACTGTACTTAACCTTGTTTTCTTCTGCACATGGGGCTAATGAGGACTTGCTATACCATGCAGTGTTAAATGGGGGAAATATTGCTAGGACAGTAACATCTATGAAACATATTCATATCCATGTGTTGAAGAATGGTGACACGATAGATAAGATGAGAAAGTGTGTTTATAATTTTTGTTGTGTGTCGAAGATTTGATACTGGTATTGTTAAACCTGGGTTTATATTATTGGAAAGAACTTCTTGTGTCAACAATAAACAACTGCAAAAGACAATCACAAAATTAAAGTGAAGTTTGGATGGACCTCCACTCTAAATGAAATCCTGAATAACAGAAAAAAAATGTATTTAACTATTTAGATTTTATTTGCATTTACAAGTGCATTATTTACTGTATTTACCTTTGTAAATTACATCAAACTCTTCAGCACAAGTCTTAATGGTTCCTTCTTTAAAAAAAGGAAATAGTATGGCCTGCTTATTATATTTCACCTATTAAACTATGGATGCATTTGGCACATTATTGTTGGTGTGGAAGTTCAATTTGAAGAGTATGCATCTGGAGGTTTTACATGGGTAAATACAGTAAATGTGTAAAGTGTTTCACACTGAAAAATGTTAATGTACATTTATACAATAATATAACATAATAATACATGTACAAATATAACAAGATATATTATAGTTTATATTTAACACTATCTCTCCTTGTATTTTATAATTCATCCATGACAAAGGCCCAATTTATTTGCATTCTTATACCCCTTGAGAAATCTTAACACAAGTCACACACTAAATAGGGCTCAAAGCATAAACTATAAGTGAATTCACAACATTAAGTATAGTAAGACAAAAATATTTGTGCAAATATCAGGTCAATTAGAAACATTTTAAAAGAGAAGTCTTAATGTCTTATCTCATTGGTAGGTAAATTGAATCTTAAAGATGGGTTTCCTTATATTTTACTGTCAAACTAAGCAAACTATTTGATTAATTATTGTTTCTAATGAATTATCATGTATTCTTAATCAGATCATTATGTTCTTTTTGCATATAATTAAGAGTTTTATCATAAAAGTACAGTCTGGATAATAAAAAAAATAAGACTTTTTGACCTTTCTTGATCGGTCACTAATTAGCTAATTAGCTAATTATGAATTAATTATGGACATGTGAGACAAACTGGTATTTTCCAAGTCATTAGAACACCTCTATTTTCTATTCATATAAGTATTAGCATTTTCATTTTCATAAATAAAAATAAGGGAACCCATTAAGAAAAAATGTAGCGGTGGATTAATTGTCAAGTAAATAAACTCAAAATAAAAAGTGGACTGAATTATACCCCAGTGTAGACAAATGTACCTTTAACTGACTATAGTCTGGAGAAGAAGAGTAAAATGAACAGTAAAAAAGGAGCAAGTTGGGACTAATTTATCAGCTAAAATCGGGGTACCTTAAAATACTTTATGTTACATGTATTGTATCCTTATATTGTGATATTGTATCAATCCAAGATTAGCCAGCACTACAACTACAACTAACGGTGCTATAAGAAAATTGGTTTGAACCATTTCAAATTCAAATTTTAGAAGTTTTGGCTCTAAAATGTGTGTCAGAATGCACCAAACCAATTCTATTTTTCAAAATTTTGTTGGTTGGAACCAACTAAGACCTTTCACCTGTGGGGCTTTCACAGAGCTGACACATTTAGAATCCAAACAATTGTCTCCTCATTAAGTCATTCTGCCCTGTGTTGTACCCTGAGTCTCAGGAGGATGTACATTAACCAAAAACTAAGAGGAATGCCATTGTCAGCTACCCTAATATATTTACTGACAGACTTGATAATATTAAGAAATAAATTACAATCAAACAAAACAATAAAGCAAAAAAAAATATAGCACTCATTCAATATAAACAATTCACTTAAGCCATGCTTATATATATTAGGCCTACTTCTCATTCACACCTGGTATCACTTTACATTTGCCATCTCAGCTCACTTGCCAATGCCATTCAAAACTATGGGTTTAATATACAACATACTTTGACTAAACTTATTAAAGCTATCATTATATCATGTGCTTAAAGAAATTTGTTAATTCAAAAGAAATTGGTTTTGTTTTTTAGTATGGGTTACCTCACTCATTCAAGGATCTAAAATATCCTTTAAGTTTCTGCTGAACTTCATAAAAATTTCAAACTCTCTTTAATTGTATAAATTATTTCAAAGTTGCAGACAAAGAGCAGGCAAAGTTCTTATTGAGCACAATATTTGATTGGTTAAAATTTTTTGAAAGAAAAGCAATAGATCAGAACTATATTGGGTCAGAGTTGAAATTTCTCTGAACATTATTGAATAATTATAACATTAAAGCACATAAAAATCAGAGCACCAGTATAAAATATACACAAAGAGACAAAAATAGTTTCATAATATTGTACATTTAATGTTCAGTGGCCGACCCACAAAATATTTTGGTCAAATGATTTTGTACAAAATGGGCCCCTTGGCATTTGAGTATTTTCTTGTTATGTCTGAATGTAGCTCTAAGATGGTGAACTTTGTCAAATAAGTCTATAAGGAAAATTTTGATTGAAATGGGATTGATGGATTTAGCCTTTGAAGTGTACAGTTTTATCCTTTTGCTAAACTTTTTGGAGAGTTACTTGGACCAAGCAGATTTAACAAATATTTCAAATACTCATACAAGAATCTAAATATCAATTGTGGCCCAAGACAATTTAACAAATATTCAAAACCCATATTGAAGATTTAAGGTATTAAACATAGCCCAAGATGATTTAACAAATATTTCAAATCCTGATACAAGATTTCAGGTTTCAAACAGGGCCCAAGATTAATTCAAATATATTTCATTAATTTGCCATTTTCAGGACAAAATACATCACAGTCTTTAGTAGAACCTTTAAGAAATCGATTCTAGAATTTGTTCGTTTCATTTTGTACACAAGATTTCTTTGTAAATAAATTAATGTAATACACTGCTCACATCCCAAACCTACAAAAACACAAAAACAATAAAAGATGAATAAAAGGCGTTTTTGTGGGCTGATTCGATTAGGTAGTACGATTTGGTGCAATTTGGTTTAGATTAGCAGTGGTCCACAAATGCAAAATTCAAATTGGCGATTTGGCAATATAGCTGCCTCCGCTGACAACCAATGAAAGACCGCTATTTTGATTACATTAGCAACTTCCACATGCCGCCATCTTGAAAAAGCCTAATCAAATAGCCTAACCACCTCCTGGGACACTTAGGACGATTAGCCAAATCAGTTTAGGTAAACTGGATCACAAATGTACCGATTAGCCTAATCGTCCTGGCTCATAAACAAACAAAATAGCTAACCGAATTGGCCTACAAAAACTTCTCAGGTGTATCGATTTGGCTGAATTTGCCGGTCATAGCTTGTTGGCTCCTCATTGAGCTTCAAGAAGACAAGCTTGCAGAGTGCAGTGAACCTTAATCTATCAATAACCAATTGCGCATGGATCAATTGCACATACTAGGTCTTGGTTTATTCTCCAGTCTGAATGACTAGAGGCTTTTTCTGACAGACTGGCATCAGTCACAGAGCCTATCTTGGTATTGAATGCTGGACCCTTTAAGTAAAATATCAACAACCAGAACAAATTTCAGTACAAATCATCTTGGAACAATGCTAATTGCCCAGAACTCATCATATCCTAGAGAACAGTAGGATTTTGTATATTAACCCTACCTTAATAATCCTATCTTTACCAACAGTTAATAATAATTTTCTAGTAGAATCTAAATTCATATGAATTACACTGTGTCTCACATCATGGAATGTGGCTAGTGGAGCTCTACTGCAATAACAAGATAGGATTAGTCAAATCTTAAATATTATTTGCCTTGTGTTTGCAAAGCTAAATCAAGTAGTCAACAATGATTCATATCAAGCATAAAGTCTTCATTAGAACAAGTAATTTATTAAAGGGATAGGTACGCCATATTTTTGACCAATCATACCTTAGTCTAAGAAGCGGGAATTTTTTTAGCTAAGCCAATCAGTTATAGTGTTCACAACTTATCACCAAAATTTGAGCCTTCAAATCCATGTGTGTCCAGAATTATCCGCGTTTGAAAGTTAAGAAGAATTTTCCACATTTGAAAGTTAAAAAGACAAGTCATCTTTTCTTGAGAAAAGACATCTATATAGGAAAAAAAATTCCTAGTTTTTCTCATATTTTTGTCCCTTTAAACTAATTCTAAATACCCCTAAATGGTATGTGGATTTTCTGATTCTACCTACACTCAAATGTCAACTAGAGACTAGTCGTCTTTGACTATAATTAATTTCTAAAAATAAAGTGAACTGCTGGTGTTAATGTTCTGAATCGAACCTAAATATACAGTTGTACTCTAACAATACTTACTCTTCTGTTTCAATGGTTTTAAAACAATCATCACAAATTCTAACATCATATTCATATCCCATAGCAGGTAGAGTTGACTGTTTAGTACTACATTTAGCACACACAGCTTTACCACATTTTCTACAATGGTGCTGCAAAATACAAACAAAGAAATTAGTTTTCAATCAGAATTGCTCCTTATCCCAAACAATCTGGAATATTATGTAACTTTTTGCCAGAACTGTAGACTTTTTCTACTGACATAAATATCAAGGGAGCATCCCAATTTACCTATTGATTCAAAAACAAACTTTTATGTGCTTAACAAAACTTTTCTCTTTGTAATTATTTAACTATTTTCTAAAGCAATATCATACTACATTTATTATTGGTAGCACTACAAAAAGTCTTGGACTAGGATAATGTTTACCTGTCTGTTTCCCATAATTTTTTCTTCCCACATTTTCTTCACATTCCAGAAAAATGGTCCTTCACATTTCATACATACATCACTTTCAGCCCATTCTGGTGTCTGTAATATATATAGATAGAAGCGATATTAACATAGTTTTAAAGAGGTGTGCTAACCCATGTATGAGTATCAGAGACTTATATAGCTTCTATTTGCACCAGTCTAATTTTGTTCGTGAGGTTCTTGGAAATCTTGGCAAGATTATGTCAATACTTTTCATTAATATGACTAATTAATGAAGCTAATAATGAAAACATTATGAAAATCATCTCGTTTTTGGATAAATGTCATATTTATGATGATTATTCCTGCTATTGATGTTCATGGAAATCTAAAACGACTCTAAAGTCTCTATTCAATAGTTTTTGGTTCAATGTGAGTCATTATGGCATCTTTAGTCATCTCAAGCATACCTCCACACCTAAAGCAATGTATTAATGAATATCCATGACATGTAATTGAATCACTTTTACCTCAATTCTCTTGGCATCCATATTCCATACACCAACAACACAGTCATCTGAACCTGATAGTAATTGTTTAGCTGACTGGGCATACACTAAACCTTGTACTTTATCACTGTTAGAGAATAGAGGACAATAGTATTACAGTCAAGTAACCTAATTTCGTGGAAACCTATTATTCGCGGATTTCCGGAAAGGATTAATAATTTACATGAGCGACCTTACGCGACCTCCGCATTGGTTTGTTTTGATAAACATGGGTTTTCTCTACAATATCAGCTAGTAGAATGAATTCAGTAGTTTCAAGCAATGTAAAATGTATTAATGTTTACTTTGACAAATACAAAATGGAGGATTTCACTTATTACCAAACGTCACAATTTTTTATCGGCCGAATTTCCTTCTAATCCCAAGCGGTAATCGGATTTCCAAGTGTCGTCTACTAGAATATATTCCAACGAATGAAGTCACATGATCAACTAGCGGATTCCGTGTCAGCAGAAAATTTCTATGGAACACAAAGTGGACCATATTCTTATGTTGTTTCAGTGACTTTTAGCAATAAAACACGCTACATATCTTACTTTGTCAGTCACTTTTTTTCTTTAAAATTGTGGTTCTTTGAAGGAATTGTCACTAGTTATAATGAATTGATATTAAAGATAAATACTAAGAGAGGTTATGTATACCACCCGGTATCCATACAACGTGTTTTTCTAGACTTATTTACAGATCAAACATTGTAGACGAAAATAGGTGACGCATTCTGCCGCCGTTGCCGAGTTGGTTGCTCATGAAATAATATAAATTTTTTTTTTCGTTTTATAACTTTGACGAAATTCGGTATTGAATCCTTATATCCACGAAAATAGGTTACACCACTGTACTAATAATGTATCTCATAGCATTAAAGGCAATCTATTAAAAAATGATTCAATTAAAAATTACATCTGTGTTAAATCCAAAAGAACTTTGCCTATAATATGTGTCATATATAAAGAGATTTGGGCATTGAGGGTATAAAAAGATAAATGATAAACTTACTGATGTCCTTGTAATTCGAAGGCTGTGCCTTGTTTACCACCAATATCCCACACTATCACAGACTGATCAAAACTTCCAGAACATAATAAACTTCTTTCTACATCCCAGGCAAGACAACGTACACTACCTGCAAAATATATTCTGCAATTGATGAATGAATGAATGAATTGCACTTACCAGCGTAAATGAATAAGTGAATGAATTGCACTTACCAGAGTAAATGAATAAGTGAATGAACTGCAAAAGTCTGAAGAAATGAATTGCACTTACCGGAGTGACCCTTTAAAGTGATGACTAATTCAAATGTTGTATCTTTTAACTTCAATACTGATATATGTCCTGAATAATCTCCTACGAAGGCATATTTTGATTGTTCGTCAAATCTAAACATATAGTTAAGGAATATCTTTCCTTGTAACTCTTTCAACAGTAGACGTAATTTTCCAGGCAACAAAGTCACAGGGTAGCGCTTGTACAGCAGCTGTTGACAAGTGTTGTCACTTAAAGATGGGTTCCCTTATTTTCATTTATGAAAATGAAAATGCTAATACTTATTAAGAAAGTAGAGGTATTCTAATGACTTGGAATACCAGTTTGTCTCACTTGTCCAATCAATTCACAATTAGCTAAATTAGAAGAGAATTACCAGTAGAATTCCAATTAGCGACCCATCAAGAAAGGTCAAAAAGTCTTTTTTTGTTTATCTAGACTGTACATACATGGAAATTTATGATGTGATAAAACTTTTAATTAAATGCAATAAGAGCATAATGATATGATTAAGAATACATGATAATTCATTACAAACACAAATTTATCAATAATTTGCTTTATTTGACACTAAAAAATAAAGAAACCCATCTTTAAGGTGAATATGCTTCAAGTCAGGAGTTCAGGTTAGGCCAAAATGATATTTTTTTGGCACTAAGCTTGCAGAAGTTTATTTTTCTGTGTTTATGTGTGTTGAATGTGCAGGGTATGAAAATTCTTTTAGAAATGGAAAACCATCACTCATAGTTGAGTGCTGCAATGTAAAATTGAAAAAGGATACTCTAGGCATAAACACCATGCAGCAGCCTGATATCCACCTAATCTTCTACCAGTTTCAGAACAATGCCATTGAAAATATTTATCTTTACTACAACTCAATACCCATTCACAATTCAGTGAGAATTTTAAACATGTAACTCTGTTTTGATGAGCTGTCAATAGAAAATGTAAACGATCAATAAATTGTAGTTGTAATAGAGGCATAATGTCAATCATTATACACATTACTCTAGAAAGATTCCCTGATACCACAAAACTCCCTGTAGAAAGTAAAAGGTCTAAAAAAAAAATTTACAGTGAGTTCTGTTGTATCTGTTTGAGGGGGAATCTTTCCAGAGTATTGATTTGTAGCAGTATGTTCCCCTGTGTATCCTGGTATAACAGCCCTCCAGTCAGCACTTATCCAGCTGACTTCTACCTGTACCAGTAGTTTATCATCGCCTTTCACTGTCTATTATACACAATAAGTAAGATTGTAAGGGTAACCAATTTGCAGATTTCATTTATACTAGCACAAGTAGGGAATGTTTCAATTCATAATGGCTACTCTATAAAATATCATTAATACTATATATATTGTTAGTCTTTGTAGGCCTTAGTTGTCTCACTGGTAATTATGGGTTGAGTTAAAACTAGGGCCTCTATAGAAAAGAAGAACATACATACCAAGATAATCTCTTATATGAGATAATCTGTTATAATCATCTGCCAATGAAAATTCCTGACAAAATACAATAAGGATGAAATCATTAGTGTTATTATTTCCAAATGAATGAAATAATCTGCTGTCTTTAAAGGACAGTATAGTATGAAAAATTTTCAGTATTAAAAATGCTGGAAATTAAATGTGAATAATTTTTTTAAATATGCTATTAACTTGTATCTACCAGTATCTTCTTAATCAATCTGAATTTGTTTTAAAATAAGTGATTCAGACAAAGTTATAGACACATTTCTTTAGATTTACTAATTTGGTTTTAGAGCACCATCCTACTAAAACAATCAGACTGCATCTAACTTTGAATCACTAATTGTCCTTGTCTCATAACAAAAAGTGTCTTAGAGCAATTACAAAATTAATTAGCACAAGATAAATTTAGTACATTCTGGATATAGATGGCTAGGAAGAATATTAAAGACATGCAAACTAACATTTCTAACAAAAATTAACAGAATCTGAAGGACTCATTAAGGAATCTAAGGCATCAAATTGGCCCGATCTTCTCAAGAATTGCATCACACAGGCATTGCTCTACCTCCCTAAAAGTCTTTGTAACCAACATTTGTACCAATGAACATTGGTATGAGTACAGATTAATTTAAACTTACTGTAATAGTACCATTATCTAATCCAATAAATAATCTTCTAGTTTCACTATTAAACTCTAGACAGGATGCCTCAGCTGAAACAATAGTTTCATCATGTTTAATTCAATCAAAATATTTTCAATGTCATTCCACCAAGATTTTCAGAACAAAATGTGACACTTTCAACATATTGATTGATTAATACCTACTTTGTTCACAAATCACAAGATTTGCTTCATTAACTAATGAATAAAATATATTGTTTTAGTAGCAAAATCAACTTACAGGGCATTGAATGACAAATGGAAGGCCAATATTGTCCTGTATCTCTTTTTAACCAAACTCTCACCGTCCTGCAAAACAAAATTCAATATATGTCTTGTTCATCCGTCATTCCGTTAAAAATATGACATTGACATAGTTTGCATAATAATTCACGTGACAGAACATGATTTATATGCTTCCTGGTAAAGCCTAAATGTAAAGGCATTAATCTATAGGAAACAAGATGATTAACCATTCAATCACAATAAGAGAATTTACCGCGTACAACATATGCCCAGTTTCCAAGCACTTTGACAGAATTTAGCTTGGTTCTAGGTGATTTCATTCATTGTCATTAGAATCAACTTTAGGTTTTAATTTCATTGTCAAATTGGTCACTACATATTGCTTAACTCAGATCACCTATAATCTTATACAGTATCTAAATATAAGGTTTAACCTTCTCAAAATAATGAAACATCACTTTAACCGATCATATTTTATATAGAAAAGAAACATATGATAATATTCATTATCAACAAAGAAAGAAGAACTGAAGACGAAGAAGGGGAGGGGACAAAAAAAATGTCTCAAGTTTGTCGTTGAATAGCATTATACATACTTGTCATCACTGACACTTATAACTCCATCCTCTCCTGGAATAATCACTGCCATATTTACACAATCTCCACATCCTTCTAATTTATTTAGTAACACTGGTTTTCTTACATTTCCTTGTTGTTTAGAATTTGAAGGCTTAATTTCGGCTGCCATTTTGTAATTATCACGTGATAGGGATGAAAGTTCGGCAATTAATTTTCCAATGACAGTGAGTCATATCAGAGTAACGTCCCTTTAACTGAAATTCATCAAAACTACTGACAACCAAATCCGATAGCAGTTTGTCCGAAACTTGCTGACGGTTTCCTTGTCAATCACTGCGTCTAAATTTTCTATATATTTCTAAAAATACATGGTCAGATTCTTGCCCTTGGATTACAATGCCAAAATATCTATGATCAGGCCAGAATCTTGTCTCGGTTTTAGCCTGCAGTGCCGAGGTATCCATAGTCAGATTCTTGACATGGGATTACAATGTCAAGAAAATATCATTGATCAAATTCTTGCTCAGAAAGAAGGAGGAATCCGCAATCAGATTTCCGCTCAGGATTATTAGTTCGCCTATCGTTATTGTTGGTGAAATACCCTGGCTCAGAAATATTACGTCTAACGAAAGTCTTGGTCTCAGCGCCGAAATACTCATGGTCGGACTCCTGATCCTATGTAGGTATAGCCTATCAAAATTTATATGGCTAAAGTTTTGTCTAACTTATCAAACTTTTCGTCGACTGAGTTGAAATTCAACCTGATAGACAATGATTGGTGTTAATTGGTTTAATCAGTCAACAAATTCTTAACCCAGGAGTCACATTATGTTCGGAATTACTCATTGTCTAATCTAATCTACAATTTTGTGCAAGATAGATTTGAAATCAAAAATTTTATAAGCATTTTGCAATTCGCAAATATGCCAAATTCGTAAATCTAAATATTTTTTACTTTGTGTGGTGTAAGTCAAAATGTGTTTTTGCGTTATCAACTCTTCGCGAGTCATTATTTGTGTCGACAATTTGAGAAAAAAGGGGGAAACTTCATATACTCCTAGATGAGCCATTATGTTCTTTCGTCATGTAAAGTATTTACGATGTTATAAAACGACGAGGTTGGAAAAAAAGATTTTTATCTTTGTACTCGGGTTACAATAATACATAGGAATGTCTCAGTTGTGGAGTTTAAATATTATGATGAGATGTGTATCTAGTATAGTGCCTTTACAACTTGTCAGTGAGTGTACTCCTAAAAAAAAAGTCTGACAATCGACTAATTCCATTTCTGCAACTAAACACTATACCCTCCGGATATATAAGTTGTCCCAAGACACACACCGATCTTTAAAGGGACCTATGTGCCTTTAAAAATGCTTCAAACTACCCACCATTTCTATGTCTTTGCTATATATCACGGAGTAGCCTATCTTAAATTGACGAATCGTCATTTTAACATTCAAACGCAGACAATTATGGATACACATGAATTTGTAAGCTTAAATTTCGACAGTGAGCTGTGAACACTATGACTGATTGGCTTAGCTAAAAAATTGCTGTTTCAGGCAGTAACTAGACAATGTCTGGGCGAAATGATTTTTTTCGGGAATGGGAATCTTTTAAGCTCCTACGCCGATGTTGATTTTACGTAAATTTTCACCCTTTAAACTTTCGCACATATTCATAGTGTAATTTTTCACAGATGATGCGATGTGAATCAACAATGTATCATAGAATGATGTGAATCAACAATGTATCATAGAATGATGTGAATTAACAGCGTATCATGGAATGATCTGAACCAACAATGTATCATGGAATGATGTGAATTAACAGCGTATCATGGAATAATGTGAATTAACAGCGTATCATGGAATGATGTGAATTAACAGCGTATCATGGAATGATGTGAATTAACAGCGTATCATGGAATGATCTGAACCAACAATGTATCATGGAATGATGTGAATTAACAGCGTATCATGGAATGATGTGAATTAACAGCGTATCATGGAATGATGTGAATTAACAGCGTATCATGGAATGATGTGAATTAACAGCGTATCATGGAATGATGTGAATTAACAGCGTATCATGGAATGATGTGAATTAACAAGCCCGATGTCTTAACTATCATCAGGTCAGAATCCTACTAAAGGAAGAAATATTCTGATGCCAGTGTCATTGCTTCCAAAAAACGGCTAGGTGTCGGATAGCAGCCCCTTTCATTCGGAGTTTTTCTGTTTGATTAATTTGTCCCATCGAGATCTGGTACACGTATCAGGAGCTCGCCACCACTCTTCTAGGTTTACGGACAACGTTGGTTTCTTGTCGTCATTCAACATGGCACAGAGTCGACACCAAAACTTGGTGTTGAGGAAACTTCCCGTACCCTTCCATTTAAAGTATTCATTATATAAATCGTCATTTTGGTCTAATTTCTGTAAATATATGGCAAGTTCTTCCGCTGATTTGAAGTCTTCCACGTGAATAAAACTGTTCCTCGGTGCCAATTTTTCATATTCTTCCCTCCTGGCTCCCATTACAATTGGTATTACATCATGCCTTTAAATAGAAAACGTATACTGATTACATGTACAGGGTATAGGTGAAATTGTTTAATAATATTTTTACTATACATAAACTGTAGTCTTATCCAACTCTATAACTTTACTGACGCACACGAAGTATGAAATATTGCTTGAACTTCAAGCTTCTCGAAAGGACCGAAACCATGGATTGTCTTCGATTGTTTGTCAATGCTTTGGCAAAATCGGCCCCTTACTCTTATATCTACATCAATTTGGTTCTTAAAGATTCGCGCCTCTATGATGCCGATTTCCAGGCAGCCGTTTTGTCGATTGTTGTGATAGCAATTCAAGATGTTTCCGGACTAATCAGGTTTTCTGACGCTGTTCCTGAATTCCCCTACCACGATAATGATCGTCTGCGAATCCCTTCAAATTATTCAAACCCCCAACCTTATTTTGATCTATCATCACAAAACAACTTTCACAGGGAATCGGAAGGTGTATGCAAATAGTCATTTATGATACATTTAAAATTGCTTCCTTAAATTGTTACTAGGTTTAAATTCTCCAGAAACAAAGAATATTGATATATCTGATCAAGTTATATCGGCTAGTAAATCGTGTGAAGATCTTTCAACATAATTTTGTGAATTGAAAATAGCAGAAGTAACTTAATATAAATATATGACTTACTGCAGCGCGTTTACAAAGAATTTTTCAGTGATATAATCTTTACAATTAGCATTCTCGAATGCCAAGTAAAATTTATAATCCTTATTGAGCTTTTTAGAGCATTTATCAGAGTTTCTTGGACACTTATGCGGTCCACAGAACCCATATATATCAACAGATATATTCTTCTGCAAGTCATACACGTAGTATAAACGTTCGTTATTACCAGCACAATTCGAAACAAAAATGGCAGCCATCTTGGATTTTCCTGTTGCATAGTTTCGAGAAAGTTCTTTTGTGTTTGATACCGATTCGTTAAAATGATAGACCCATTTTTCGTAAGGAGCAACTATCGTGGAGTCACTCCGGTAAGTGGCAGTCCAGTTAATATAGTCTTTAAATGACGAATAGTCCAAGGTTGCCATTGGACTTTCCAAAGCAAAGAACAACCAAACTATATGAGGTTTTCTATATGTCTGCAAGTAGTATTCCATGTTCGGTAACATCTGACCAAAAAGTACAGCATCCACCTCGCTCTTGTCGCCATTCATTTGAAGAATATTACAATTCTGAACACGACATTTGTGATCCTTGAATGTCTGATCACCATATTGTACTCCCCAGCTAGAAATACCACCATCCAACAATATCCCTTTCTGCTTTCCCAATTTCCCATCTTTTATTTTAGGAATGAATGCCATTTGCTCCAGAATTCTGTCCTTCCCAGATTTTGTGTTCCAGATTCCAACATGTCCTTCGTTTTTCACTCTGATTCCTGCTTTTGAAAGGATATTCACACCGCCATATTGTAATCCAAGATGGCGATCTGACGTTTCACTTTTGACACTTATTGTGGATACTTTTGATTCTCTAAGATGAGTAGCATTCAGCTTTTCTATTTTGTGAACTTTCAGACTTTGCTTTATCCCTTTTAATTTATTATATAATTTAGATATTTTCTTCACAGTTTGTATTGAAAAACGTTTACGCGCATGTACCACTTCCGGTTTACGCACAGTCGTTTGTCTCCCCTTATGATGCTTGGGATTAACAAAGATTCTTGTAGGCACTGTAGTGACGACATTCTTCTTCAGAATACAATGGTCTCCAACACACGGCTTCTTGAAAACTAGAGGTCCTTTGGGGACGCGTTTCTCGATCGAATTCACTCCTTCAGACCTCTCCTTAGTTCTCAGGGTCCCCGGTAGCCAATGGAGACTCAACGAAATGCAAATAAAGGCAATTACTAGGATCAAAAACTTCACATATAAGGACATCATTGTCAACCATAATTAAAACTATGATATACTTTCTATATATCGATGAGTATTTTGACAACGTGTAAGTCTATACATATTAAATTGTGATAATATTATTTGAACTTTAATCGCCAAAATGAGGACACTTCTAAGATAACGAAATTGTCTTCAAACTCACGTGGTATCTTGAGATAGTGTGAAGGGTGCAATAATAGGGCTGTATTTATTTCAATATTTGGGCTAAAACTCACAATCTCTATGAAGGCTGTGGTAGTTTTTTCTAATTCTGATACCTTACCTAACCAAGCTATGTCAAAGACTAGATATACAAGAATAGTTCTCGTCTAACAAATCTAAGTGACTACAACAAAAAAATCAATTGCAGAGGTTAGATAAGAACCAGCAATCTAGTTTATTAGATAGACTAGGGTCTATTTCTGTTGATTTGATAAGAATTTTGGTTCTTTGCATAATTATGTAGTATCTTTCATTATCGAATATAGAGTTGAGCAGTCGGAAGAAACGATACAGAACCACAGAATTGCTGCACCAATCTTGCTGATGTTCGTTTCCAAATCTCTGAAGGTCATGGGTTAAAATCTACAACCCTTGTCCAAACGGTAAATGATTCATAGATACGATCGGCCATCACCGTGTGACGTGTAACGTTGAAGTCCTTCTCGGACGCGGGTCACCATTAAGGCTCTCTCTGTCATGCTTGAATTCTTTATAGTGGAGAACATCCCATAAAGTGGAGACCATGATGCTGTTGTAGGTAGTTGTTGACTGTCTTATAGCCAGTTTTTATTTTTATTTCTGATGATTTCAATCGGTATGTACAAGATGGTCTGGTATAAAGACAATAATAACACTACCCCATACAGTCTGTTACTGTTCTTATGTATGTTTCATAAACTATACGAGTCCATCTCAATGAATCGAACTGTTTCTCAATCAATTGCACCAGTGGTGAATCTTTTTCAGAGGATTTTGTGCATTCTCCAAAAGAATCCTAGTTCAATTGCATGTGAATTGTCTCCCACAACCTTGGAAATTTTAAACTATTACATGTACAGTGAAGAACTATTGACCCATGACATTCAAGAATATTGTGACTTAGTTCTTTGTATCACATACTCCTCGAAAAACTCGAAATGCTTCCGATCGATCTCACTCAAGTGCGTAATCTCGGAAAGATCATCGCCATGAGATTAGAGATAACTTAGTCACATTAATTTGGTCACAAAGAAATATAATTCAATATGACAAACTATGATCAAGTTACCAACGCAAAGATCTTATGTGATACAAGCAAATTTCGGCGGGGTTTACGTCATAAAACACTTAGTTTTAGTGATCCACAGACGTCTGATCGAAAATCAGTGTCCCCGATACGCATACAAAATTTAGAAATCCTCTTTAATATCCGAATAAGCGACAAAATCATTGTGACCAAAAATCAGACAACCATAATACCAAATTACTCTAACTGTGACATATAATATGTGGATTCCCCTAAAGGGGTGTCGAGTTGACAAACTCAGTCACAAAGTGGCATCAGGTGTAGGCTACTTGTCTCGCTTGCGATGTCTGCAATAGCTTTTTTAGTGGAGCTAAAATTTTTCGGACTAATTAACAAGGCTATAGCCTGAAGAATGACTTTGGGAAGACTCTTGCCCACCAGCAGAGTCATCGAAATTTGTGTAAATTATCTTTAACTATCATTGAGTGTGGTATTTCATGTTCTCAATGATAACGGGAACAATAAACGATACAGTATATAAATGTATTATTTGGGGGTAATTAGTCTACTATCATTTAAACAGAATGTCATGAGTAATGATAATTGCTCTATTCATAATTTCTGTTATTGCTGTATCAAGGTATACATTCATCGTAGGTATTTTATTTCTGAGGCACAATTCAGGTCACTCTGAATCAATGAAACCTATTGATGTTGTGATTGTCACCACTCCAGCAGGACAATTAGAAATGTAGAAATCTAAGATTCGCGCAACTTTTGAGAGATATTTTCGACCTAGCCTGCAAAGGTAATTTGATCCTCTATTCTTATTTTGCGCGCGTTTCGAATTTCCCCAATTTGATTTCCTATAGCCACTTTATCAGAAGTGATTATTGCTTATTCCAATAATTACTTCAAAGTTTCCAGTTTTGGCGAAATTCTCTCCATTCTAGTTTTTTTTTAAATAACCTAGTCTGAATGATTTTAAGGGAGTACATCACTTGAAAAGACGTTTCATACAGTTATTGGTTATAAATATGTCAGTTATAACAGTTACTGTTCAGTGAGTTATATTGATACAGGAAGTTATATCAAGATGAGTTTGATTATATTGGTTATATCACTCTGTTGTGGTAAGCATTCCATGTTTTTTGAAACAAAAAACACTGACGTTTCAGTACATAGCAGGGAGCTAGAAACTCACACCACAACAGGCATCAGATGAAGCATTAGAAACATCTTCAAATCATTATTAGAACCTGGCAATATTATCAGAAAAACAATGACTGCATCATCAGTAGAACACTGACTGCATCATCAGTAGAAAACTCGCAGCATTATCAGAGGAACAATGACTGCATCATCAGTAAAACACTGACTGCAGCATCAGTGTATCATTGACTGCATCATCAGCAGAAAACCGGCAGCATTTTCAGAAGAACACTGACTGCATCATCAGTTGAACATTGACTGCAACATTAGTAGATAACTGGCAGCATTATCAGTAGAACAATGACTGCATCATCAGTAGAACATTGACAGCACCATCAGGATAAAACTGGCAGCATTATCAGTGGAACACTGGCAGCATCATCAGTAGAACATTGACTGTACTGAGAGATTCACTATTAACATAGATAACATTAGGAATAGAAGTCAGTAGACATATCATGAGAAGAACATTATAACTAAAAACTGGTTCAGCTGTTTTTATAGAGTGTATTAAATATCGCCAAAGGAATCAGCATTTTCAGTAGAACTCAGAAGAAAAATATCGAGAAGAAGCAGTAGAAAATTTAGCTTAAGCATTATAATCTTTTTATTTTTTTAGATTGCCAGTAATTCAGTTGTATCAATTGTGTTTTATTGCAGGGTTATGTGTTGTCAACTCAGCAAAGTGTCCAAACAATCCACTTGAAAAGATTACTGAATTTGGTGAACTATCTAGACAACTCGGACAAAGACCAGTTTCTGGGATACAACCATTATGTGGGCAAGTAGATTTTTAATTTTCTATATTATATGTTCTTTGGTGTTTAGAAAAAGTGTGCCGGATACATGACGTTCTGCTACAGGATTCATGTCAAATGTTGAACATGAGTTGGAATTCAATCGTGGTTTCCTCTAAGGAAGATATAATAATCATTGCTTGTTAAAAATATCTGCACCGGTTACCCTTAATTTCATAGCATAGATTTGGACCATTCCAATTTACAATCAGACAATCAGCTTAACTATGACGCCACCATCGCAAACGTCGATATCAATAGCAACTTTTGCGATAGTGAAGTCATAGAACTCTTTCGAAATTTAAAAGAGTCACAGAAATCTGACTGAAAATTGGAATTAAGATGTGATATTGGTTTAAAGTGATCATTTTTACTTGTACCGATTACATGATGAATGTATTATTTATAAACTAGGGAAACAAATCTCTGATATTGAACCGGATCAATGGATAGACTTTTCATACTCCTGACTTTTTTTTACATGTTACAGGAAGATGTATAGAAGTTTAAATATTGTTATTGATATTATGAAGTATTGTGACGAACATAAGAATTCTAAATACAGAAAGATTCAACAACAAATGTTCTCAATTCTATACCCTGTTTGCCCACCAGTTGGTATGTATCATCTTGTTCTTACCTAAGAGTGATTTTTTACCTGGTTTATATGCATGTAATGTAGGTCAGACCAGAGGGGATAATATGGAAATTTAGTTGAGTTGTTCGTAGAGCTCGGTAAAGATTCGTTCTTAGTCGGTATTTGTATAGAGTAAGCTGAAGTCGTGGTCTTGGTACAATGGCGTCAGTGAGCATAGCCGGTATGCATATCTTCATTAACCAAAATAGGAGAAAAAAAGTAGAACGCAAAATGTACTTATATATAGCAGTTATACAAATAGATTTTCTATCGTTACCTTCTTCTTTACATCGTCTTCAGCACAATACTTCCAAGCAAGTCTTGACTTTACAAGTCTTGTACACATGATCTGCAAGATTCCTTTTATAAGTATCAGATTTAAGGCTCAGAATTAGCGTACCAAGCGCTGTGGTTACATGATCGAATGTTACCTTTGATCACATACAAAACGACTAATCTTGCAGGATTAGAAGAAGATGCTGATGCGTTGATGGATAAGACAGGTGGTGATTGTACAGCATTAAAAGGAGAATGTGCTAGACTAGCTAGTCAAACTTTAGATGATGGTGATGCAGGACGAGGTGAAGTGTGCAGGTTTGTTTTACTAAAGGCAATTTGAATTCCTCTTAAGATATTTTTGGGAACCGAAGACACAAAAAGCTTCTGCAATTGGACACTGGTACATGTATATGCCTGGAGGGGTGACATAGATTTTTAGTTATATTTATAATACAGTGATTTAGCGAGAACTAGGCTGGTTCGTCCAAAAATGTGCCGACTCCTATCAATGAAATGAAATACATTTTAATGCCTCAAACATGTCTAAGACCAGCAGTAAGTCATGGCTTCTATGGAAGGATGAGCTCTAGGACGAGGAAACTATGGCCAATGGCTATATTATTTTCAGATTGAAATATTCCAAATGACTAAATATAGAATTAAGGTGACGCCCACAACACGCCTTTGTAAATATCACTAATAGTTATGTAAATATTGGAAGTTAATTGGTACAACTATATTATATTAGTAATCATATGAAATTTGATGATGATTTCTACTAATTATTAATAAGACTAATTGTGTGTGATATTTAACAGTTTATATCTAATAGCTTAACATTGACATTGGTAGTTATATTGGAGCTTTGAACTTATCATAAGTTGGTCAGTACTAGAACTCCGGTTTAATTAAGTTGAATATTCATTATTTTCCGATCACTTTTGCAGAATGGTGACCAAAGGTGTCAAGTTTTTTGTGGGCGAAACTTTGTTGAATTGTTTGTAATTAATCGCGACGGTATTGAAAAATATCATTCATGCTAAGTCAATAACCTTAAATTTGAACGTTAAAATTCATTCTGGAAACAGCAGTTGGGAATTAAAATTAGATGAACCTATACCTTTAACCTTTTTGATGTTTATTCTAGATCACACAAACCAACAGTAGAGTGTTCATTGGTTTACGCCAAAGAATGCCTGGATTCTGAAACTAAATTATACAACTCAGCTTTCGCCTCCTATCTTAGATATTACGTTAGCTATTGTAAGTATGCAAATGATTATACATTATGCTTGCATGCTTGTAAAGGCTTATACAGGCTGTGTCTTCATCATGTATTAAAGCTCTCAGCCATACCCCCAAAATGTATCATGAGCAACGAAAGTTGAAGGGAACTTACACCATGAAAGTTTTCTGTGCTCAGAATGATGCATGTGTAGTGCTAATTTTCTGAAATAAGGTGTGTCTGTCATCCCTAAAATGACCATCAAACAGCCAACAAGATAGTCCGTAGCACAGAGCAGTAACGTTAAGTCATAACAAATACTGTGACGTTTAAAAAGCAGCTTTCTACATTGGGTCTATTTGCTTGCAGATTTGTGTGGAATTGATCTGGTGGTATCTCATGATTTTCATCTCTATAGAAGTATTGGGTGTGGCCTCGCTGACCATACTTCTCGTTTGAGGAGTCCACTGCTATCTCCCATCTTTGTCTTGCTTTGGATGCGATTTTTGGTTAACAAAATTATTTTGTTTGTATGGATTTTTATTATATTACTTGTTACTGAATATTTGAATCTGTTACACAGGTCGAAAAACTCAGAAACCAGGCGGTGTCACTCAACCACAATCACCTCCAACAAATCAATCTCAGATACGATGTGCCAGATTGGGCAAGAAATGTTCCAAAATTGCGCAGAAAGCTAACGTTAAAAATTGTTCGTAAGTATCAGGATATTACAAAAAATAGAATTAGTCAAAATGCACTGGGGTTAAGGTCGACGCTAGAAAGTAGAACACAAATTAAATGGGTCTTTTTCAGTCGCCAATGTGCCCAGGTGAATATAAATTCAGCGATTGGTCTGGTCCTTTAAACAGTCGTTTAAAAACCAACTCTTCCAGTTCTTCCAATCACAAGATCATCCTTGACACTCTACACTTTGCTATGCAATTTAGCTCAAACAGTGATAGTTGGATGAGATGAGATTATTGTTCTTAATATGCAAATAAATAAGCTCACAACTGTATTCCAACAAAGTCATAAAGTCTTAGTGATCACAAAGTAGACCACTTTATTTTCTGTGTTCAAAACGAACATGTCCTTAATTTTATTTATCCCCTCATAAATATATATTTTGAAACTAGATATGCTAGTATTATCTGACCTTAATCAAATTGGTGTAATACATACCTTAATTGTTCCAGAATCATGAAGAAATCATATCGATGTCTGGATAAATATGTAAAAGCTTGTAAATGGATGCTCTCCCCTTATACACTTAATGCTATCCAGACGTCTCGTTCACATCTGTATAACCAATGTAAGTAGGGTCCTACCTCAAATTATCAATTAAAGCTATAATTTTGTTTTTACATAATGGCGTAGGCACTGAATATTTCCGATATATCATCCACTATTATGATATCTTTTTTTTGAACGCCGATTGAATGATACTGAGGCGAAATTATGAGTATCAGATGAGAGATGAAATTTGTCAGAAACGTTCGAAATAATTATTTAGAAATGGAAATTAAAGAGGGTACGAGCCGATGGCATTCACAGACGATAAAAGTCGACACCAATTGACCAATTTGTGCACCGTAACCCTCAAATGCCTCAAGTATGTTTGTCATCAGCATTGTGATATAGTCGCATCCTATTTTGACATGCACCACACTAACGTGTGGTGTACCACAAAGTGAAAAAAATGACCTGAATGTCATATGTGGGGTTGAGTCATGTATAGTATTTTAGGTTCTCTTGGAGCAGATATGATGATGGGTGATGAAAACAGACAAGCGTCAGGTAAGCTGGGATTTCTATCTAAAGATAGTTGTGACAAATTCGAATTTCAATATTCATGAATGAGCGAATTATAACTTAACATATTGTCAAAACGTTTTTAGTATGTTTCCATTCATCCATGTTAACACTCTGGGTGATAAATGGCATTGTTGACATCCTAACAATTTTGTTCGCATCAAATTCTACAAACTTTTTACTATTAAAAACAATATTCTTGACATCTAACGTGGGCGTATTTTATATTTTTTGGCAAGCTATCTTTATATGTTTGACATGAATTTTTTAAAGAATATTTTTTTAATTTCCATTCTCGAAACCTTTTTAAAAAAATGTGTTTGTTGGTCGATAATAATTGTCACTTTGAAGACATTTGGTTAGCACAGGATTGTAAAGATGTAACGTATCATATTGTCATAACAATAGTATGTCGAATTGCCACCAGATGTTTCTATAATTTATAATACTAGGTTTTGTTATACCTTCCTCTTTAGTTGTAATATTTGAGCAGCTATTACGGATGTGGCGCCATGCTTACCTTTTTAGACACCTGGTGCCACTTTTCAGAATGATATATATCATCAGCTGTTACCAATGTGGCCAATTGCTTGCTTTGAATTTCAGATTTCGTTTCGTTAGTATTTGGTATTTTTCATTGGTTATAATGTTAGCTGTATTTTTCAGAATTATCTAAAGTTAAATGTAATTTGAAGGTAAAACACTGTTCAGATATGATAATAGATGCAAATTCCAACCAAAATGAAAATTGCAGGTATATACTACAATTCATATCATATATTTCTTCCAGGTGTCGGTACTGTTCGTTCTGTTATTATCATAAGTGCTGACTAAGGGTAACATTGATACCGAAAGAAATTTCACCATTACTCCGAGAGTCAGCCTCGATGTCGGCTTTGAAACCCCAATCTCCATTATGGGGATAATGTTTATAATTCCGAATTCTCAAATTCACTGGTGGAGCCTACCAGTCCATCTTCGAGAGGCATAAACAATGCCTATAAACTAGCAATGGTCACAAAAACAGGCGTCATTCCAATTACAAGAGAACCCGGTGTGACAGTTATCGCTTTTCCTTAAACAACTGTGATTTTGTGGATTTGCTAAATGATGACAATCGACCCTCCAAATGACAGTAGGTATGACTGCAGCAGCAAACCACCGACTACTCTCGTCTAATATAATGTTTGCATTACTGTGAATTGTAGAAATGCTAAAGAAATAAAGGAGTGTTTACGAGGTGTCATTAATAGATGTTCCAATACACTGGACCTACAGTTGATTAGTAATTTGAAGACTACACAGAAAGCCTATCAGAGCTGTAAGTATGTACCCTGAAAGCAAAAGACACAACTTGTAAATCACTTACTGATTTAGCCAATTTTCAGCTTTCCGTATTACTTTTGAAATGAAAGCCAGTTTGTCTTCAATTTGATAAAAATGTACTAGTGAAAGAGGCGATAAACTACTGTAGGTTCTAAAGATGCATTACAGCCATTACAAATACTAGATATCAATCTGAAATCGCCCAAGTTCTTATAGCAACAGTAAATATCATCCATGGATAATATCAGCAATGCTGTCGTTCTCTTTATCTTTATCAGCAATGTTCTCGTTATCTTTATCAGCAATGTTCTCGTTATCTTTATCAGCAATGTTCTCGTTATCTTTATCAGCAATGTTCTTGTTATCTTTATCAGCAATGTTCTCGTTATCTTTATCAGCAATGTTCTTGTTATCTTTATCAGCAATATTCTCGTTATCTTTATCAGCAATGTTCTTGTTATCTTTATCAGCAATATTCTCGTTATCTTTATTAGCAATGTTCTTGTTATCTTTATCAGCAATGTTCTTGTTATCTTTATCAGCAATGTTCTTGTTATCTTTATCAGCAATGTTATCTTTATCAGCAATGTTCTCGTTATCTTTATAAGCAATATCAGCAATGTTCTCGTTATCTTTATCAGCAATGTTCTCGTTTTCTTTATTAGCAATGTTCTCGTTATCTTTATCAGCAATGTTCTCGTTTTCTTTATCAGCAATGTTCTCGTTATCTTTATCAGCAATGTTCTCGTTTTCTTTATCAGCAATGTTCTCGTTATCTTTATCAGCAATGTTCTTGTTATCTTTATCAGCAATGTTCTTGTAATCTTTATTAGCAATGTTCTCGTTATCTTTATCCCTATCGTTATCTTTATCAGCAATGTTCTTGTTATCTTTATCAGCAATGTTCTTGTTATCTTTATCAGCAATGTTCTTGTTATCTTTATTAGCAATGTTCTCGTTATCTTTATCAGCAATCTTCTCGTTCCAGGTCTGTCCAACCCTTGTCCCAACCCAGTCAGAGATTATGAACATTGTGAAGATTTAATGAATGGTATTAGTCCAGATGGACTTTGCAAGTAAGTCCTTATATATTGTACTCGAAATTACTAACGAAATGCACCACATTTGGTACATAGCAACCAACTTCAGCAAGTGAATATATGAAAAGGGATGATGTTTAAGAGTTTCAACATCAAACGTTATTGTTTATCACTTGTTTTTTCAGAAAAGGCTTCGAAGCTTTAAAATGTTATAAAGATTATATGGAAAGGTGTGAAAATCAGACGACGGACTACATGAAAGGTGGTGTGACTTCTTTCCGCAAGATGCTTATGGACAACGGGTGTATGCAAATGAGATAAAGGAATAAACTTCACCGAAGAGTAGACAGATGTTGTCGTCGATCCTGTCTGTCTGTCTGTGTGTCTGACCGCCCTTATACTGTCAACGTTCTTGAGAGTACATCACCCTTTTGTGAAGTGTTTTAAAATTATTGTATTTCCTTGGTATAAGTGCCATTTATATAGCAAAGTTTTCACTTGCTCTCATATGTATTGATGCATATTTTTACCGGCGTGATAGTTGTTTGAAAATACAAAAATCAAAAATGCTTTGTCAAGATTTCTCATAAAAAATTTGAAACATGAGGCTCAGATTTTGTACATAAATGTGAAGATCCCATACAGATCAGTACAAATCATGCCGAAATATCTTAGTTACATTCCGGCTAGTGACAGGGATTGAAGCTAATGAAGTTAAAAGAATACTACCTCTAAGAATGGGCACAAAATTCAAAGTCTCAAACTAGGTCAACAAGTGTATCTTTTTATTACATCAGTTGAACTTACCCGTTCTTATTACTAAAGAATAGAATCTCTATATAAGACAATATATCCATAAAACTAAATAATTATTGAAACACGCTTCTAAGCATGTTTCAAATTACTTACTTAGTTTTATGGATTTATTAGATTATAGAGGGATTCTGTTGTATAGTTATGAAACCAGGTAAGTCCACTGATAAACAAAGACCCATTTTAATCAAATTTAAAAATTTCAATTTTTTGGTCCTTCTAAGAGGTAGTATACCTTTAAATATCTAGATTTAATTGCAAGAATGTTGAAGTAAAATGATTTGAAGGCTATTTGATAAACGATTAGGAAATACGTTAGACAATGTTTTTGTAAAAGCAATCTACACTCAAATTTTCCTTTGGTTTTGATGAAATCTCAGTAAAGAAGATTTGAGATATGCCATTGAAAAACAATATTTTTGATTCTTATCTATATAACTGAAGTCGTGGGTGTATCTTCCCATCAGTTAACCTTCCTTGACAAGCTGTACGTTTATTGTATATTATCAGTTATAATGTAATACAACACTGTGAAATGTAATGGTGTTTTTTGCCGAGGTTTAACCTTTTTCCGGCTTAACATAATTTCAACATCATCACGAAATTCAAGTTCAATTATCCTGATGGTTCCGTCTCAACCACCTGCACATGGTTTTCTATAGAACTCTTATAATGGTGATCCCCCACTATCCAGGATGTTTTGGTTTGAATCGCAGGTGCTGGGGTCAAATTTAAGTATTTCACATCCGGGTTCAGTTTTACAAAAAATATCCAGATCAAACTTTATAGTGTTACATGACACAATAAAATATCAGACAATAGAATTTGGTTGGACAAGATTGTGGCAGTATAATTAACCATCAGGACATGAACAATTTTGTCTTTTTTCCTGATTGTTTAGATTCAATAATAAAGATCATTCACAAGACCACTCGTTCTGCACATTTTGAATTCTATAATACATAAGCCAGATCTGAATCATGTGCTCCCAATTGTAGAAATGTGTGTTCGCATTAATTCTGCATCCATTAAAGATCTCCATATCTAGGAACTGATGAAAATCATTGGCCATTATATCCTAGTTATGATCGTATAATGATATAACTATCTTTAGTCATAATAATGTTGACAATTTGTTCTCGGTGTTTCTCGGTGCTTGGACCAACAAGTCACAAGATTTGGTCGACAGATATTGTAGACAGCTCCCTTTTAAAGTATAGATGTGAAAATACAACATATATATATATATCAACAAAAATTTATTTATATTTCAATAAACATTATCATAACAGAACAAAAAAGGGCAGATAACTCTTTATAAGTAAGTGTGGATTGATAAGTGGCAGTGAATTCCAGCAACAGATTTGAGTATATTTACAAATCTTAAATAATATAAGTCATAACATAATTACTTATGGCAGCTCATAGCAGTTCGTTAGTCATGCCAAATGGGAACAAGAGTGAGCATTTTAATAGTTTTTGTTAAAAAAATAGTGTCAGTTGCCTGAAGAACACAGCATGATGCTCTGAGTAATCACATGATTCAGGCTCCATTTTCATATTTCTGTGAATGGTATTTATATAATAAACAATGTATAAAGTCACAAAATACAGGCGACAAAGCTGTAATTATCCTATCTTTATCACTTATCAGAATGAAAATCATACGTTCAGTTCCTATATGGATGAAACATCATACTGGGGGAGATGACGACAGTAAGACTCGACCAGATGTTGCAGATATTACACGTGATATATGCCAAAGGCCTCTACCTGGATTTCATTCTGAAAGTAATATGGATAGGCTAAATAGCCTATCAGCCTGTAAAGCAAATATTTTAAATGCTTTTCATATACATGTTTCTGAAATCGAGCTTTATCAAAAGGTAGCCTTCAGCAAATATCAGGACGACCACAACCGTTTCAGTTGCTTCAAAGAGCTGGACCCCCAGAATCACTACTAGTACAGCTTTCTCCTTATCTTTCTCCTTTTATATGAAAAGGCCAAATTTGACTACCCAATAAGTGCAAAATAAAAATAAAATCAAAGCGAAGTATTAAGTAACCATTATGAATGTGTTATCATTCAATCAATGAAGAAAAACATCATGTCATCATAACTTACTTAAAGTGGTATTTCACATTAGTAATCTACCTATCAAATCATAACGTGCAAATACTACTTGCTTAATAAAAGATCTCCCGACAGTTTGAAATAGACAAAAGAGTATGCTAATGCTGCTGTTCTGGTAAAATTGCGCACTGCATGGCGTTGCCCGTCTTCATTAGCCCACAAGGTGTAGAAATTGCAAATACTGTTACAGCGATAAACTTTTCGATCATTAACTAAACAATGTTTTAACGCATTTCTTGTCAAATTCAATTCCTACCCTATACTTTATAAACATTGAAATCTATCTGAAAATAACATATGAATCAAAATGAAGTGAAAAGATAACAGTTTACCAGTCCAAATAATATACTAGTTCAGTATAGTACTTCTAAAAACCACAGCGTCTTCAATTTATCAAGCAATTCATCTTACCAGAAGGAACGTTGAAATTTCACGTGTTCCAAAAGGGGGAAATTTTTATCTAGAAATAAACAGGAATTCAAATTCTTAGACCTTTTTAAAAATCCATGAAATCACGGAATATCACAATTATGTTGTCGCAGATGTCATTTAAAATAACTAAAGCAATTGTTAGATGCTGTTATCGTAAAATCAAGTCATTGCCGATGGAATCAACAAAACGTCTTTGAATCGCATGATCTGCTTTCTTTACTGGCATACCGTTTGGAACCGATCGTTTTAATAGACTATTTGCTATATTGTCTATGTATCTCTTATGTCCAAAGCCAAAATATCGCTGATAACCACTCCATGGTCTTGTTGTGCGTCCGTAACGTGATCTTCGACTGTAAATTGCTCGCCTTTGTCTTGGTGCGCTCTCTGCATCCCGTTTAAAAAGATCCCCAGCAACGTTGTCCAAGTGCCTTTTTTCAAATAGATCTCCAGCAATCGAATCTAAATGCCTTTTCTTGAAAAGATCACCGGCAATCGAGTCCATGTGCCTTTTCCTAAACAAATCGCCAGCGATGGAGTCCATGTGCCTTTTCTTGAACAAATCGCCAGAAATTGAGTCCATATGGTGTCGCTTTTCAAATAAATCGCCTGCGATAGAATCTAAGTGACGCTTGTATTGTACGGGACCATTCTGATCATTACGCTTCAGAATGAGGTCTCCGGAAATGGAGTCCATGTGCCGTTTGTTTTGGTAGTTATCTAACATTTGAATGTCCTTTTCATAATCACGTTTTATCAGAGAGTTAGCCAAATCGTCCATGGGCCTTTTGTTAATGTCATTACTATTCTGTTCCTCTTTTCTTTTGAACAGGTCACCAGCAATTGAGTCCATATGACTTTTCTTAAACAAATCACCAGCAATTGAATCCATGTGTCGTTTCTTAAACAAATCACCCGCTATTGAGTCCATGTGGTTTTTCTTAAACAAATCACCAGCAATTGAATCCATGTGGTTTTTCTTAAACAAATCACCAGCAATTGAATCCATGTGGTTTTTCTTAAACAAATCACCAGCAATTGAATCCATATGGTTTTTCTTAAACAAATCACCAGCTATTGAGTCCATATGGTTTTTCTTAAACAAATCACCAGCTATTGAGTCCATGTGGTTTTTCTTAAACAAATCACCAGCAATTGAATCCATGTGGTTTTTCTTAAACAAATCACCAGCAATTGAGTCCATATGGTTTTTCTTAAATAAATCACCAGCAATTGAGTCCATATGGTTTTTCTTAAACAAATCACCAGCAATTGAGTCCATATGATTTTTCTTAAATAAATCACCAGCAATTGAGTCCATATGGTTTTTCTTAAATATATCACCAGCCAGCGAATCCACATGTCGCTTTTTGAAAAGATCGCTTGCAATGGCGTCCATGTGGTGACGTTTGAATAAATCACCAGCAATGGAATCCATGGGACGTTTTTGAATGAGATCAGCCGCTTCAGCATCAAGGGGTCGTTTTATAACACCATTAGCCGTCGATTCCTTTATGTGTTTATCGCTTTTCTTAAATAGGTCACTTGTTATGGAGTCCATGTGTCGTTTCTGTTCATCGCGTTTAAATAGATCACTAGATATAGAGTCTAAATGTCGCTTGGCAGGAGTAGTTTTTACATCTCTAAATTTGCTGCTGGTTAATTTTATTATTTTACTTGCATCAAGACTGAAAAAAGATAAAACAAAATGTTAAAATTCATGTTTTTCTCGATGCCTACATAATGTACTGGATTGACGATATCTTATGGGTGGAGTCCGCGTCTGATTATTAAAAAGAGACTCGAGACCACCTAGAGGCTCACAAAACCTGAGAGCTATTGGATTTTGACATGAGTAGACTAAAAAGTCGCCGTTGCCATTAGATGATAGGCACTTTTTTCAGACAATAATTGGATCATGTCGTCCACCTCAACGTTAGAAATCTGCGAGCATCAAGTTATCAGCCGTGATGCATGAATATCGACTGCAAAGTAAAAATGCGCACCAGAAGACATGAGAAATGCTGTATTGTAACAGCGACACATGTATGAAAGTCAGACTCGAGTAATAAGCTGCCTTGTTAAAATAAAGCACATAAAGCGACAGTGACAAAGCTCTTGTAAAATCAGCTTATATTGTAATTATAAATTATTGATATTCACTACATTTAGCATTACAGTCAAACTAATGGACGTCTTGAAATTAAAACTATACAGTCTAATTTGTGAGCATTGTTGTCAATTGACATTCTACTAAAATCCAAACTTCGGACTTCCAGAACAATGTCAAGCCAATAACTCTAATACCTTGACTTGATTTGATTTGATTGTGTCGGCATCAGCGATTTGATTTGATTGTGTCGGCTAAGACTGATTTTCTGTCGAGAGCTCTGATTGGTTGTATTCGGTATCTTACATTCCTATCAAATCTTTGCATTAAGAACTTCTTTGAAATAAGAATAAGCTTTATGAAGTCAAGGTATTAGACGCAGCTCGTAATAGCTTTGGCATTGTGAAGATCCGAACGAGCATTTAAGACATATTCATAACGCCGTATTCCATTTCGTGTTTTACTACAATGAATCAAATACAGACCCTGAAAAATTGTCAGGTTTCTTAGAATTTATCTTTTATGCTTGAACAATTCAGAATTTCAAAAAAGCCACAAAAACGTAATTAAGAGCGAGACTTTGATGTATTCAAGTGCGTTTCTTCTAATCGCTTTATGTATGTTTTACGATCTTGTAATGTTAGTCTAATTAATTAAGTTTCCAGAATGATTCACCATATATACTGTCACGCAATCCCGATCGTAAAATGTAGAGTCCGAGCTAATTATGAAAGAATCTTCTTATTCGAACAATTCATTGGCGAAAGGTTTGGTTATGTGACACTGGTACGTGGCGTTTCTATGAGGAGTCGGGGCGTGTGTGTGCGTGTGGGGGGTTAGGGGTGCTAGCCCCTCAGAACAGATACTGGCCCGACTTTGCCCCCCCCCCCCCCATATCACTTCCTTGCCAGCGACTCCATTACCATTTAAAAAAAAAAATAATGATTTTGTCTAGTATTGTATAAGAGACATTTAAAGCTTTTACTTGAACTATTTGGATATATCTCATATTGTGGTCCAGGTAATGTAAATGGTTAAAAATAGACATTAATAGAAACAACATCTATCTCCACTTGCTAATATCTCAAGTTGAAATCATGTCGTTGGTTATTTTCGCACAAAAGAAACGAGCAAAATTATCAAGCGGTAAATGACTCTTTTGGTTCCAAGAATAAATGGTTATGTACAGAAGGTCTCACATTCTAATTTTTGCCTAACAAAATGAGAATACTGTAATATGATATGACAATCCGAAGGGATTAGCCAATCACATTCGAGGGATTTAATTCAGCAAGCAAATTGCATTTTAGATGGTACTAAATCAACAAAACGAACACTTGAGCTTTAATGAATTCTCTTATTAGAATTTCCCATTCTTAACCGTTGTGTAATTACAGCACTTGAAACTTGTCCGAACGCAGCATGATTTGAATTAATCGACAAGTAGAAACTGTTTATACAAATGGACTAGTTACGGAACTTGTAAACGAGATCGTTTGCTGTAATGGAGATGCATTTCCCATTAACGTATTTCCATTTTATTGAATTCATTGCTGGAATAACGACCAAATGTGTTTAACAGTTCTATAAATGATCATCACTTAATATGTATGGAATCCAAAAGGCAATCATGAAAATGCGGATGAATACCAAAAAAAAAATGAAAAAAAAAAACAAGAGGAATAAAGGCCTGTGTCCACATAAGCACTTTCATTTGGCCTGAAAATGACACAGCGTAATACGCCGCGTTGTACTATGTCCACGTGAACGAAGCCAGAGACACAATTGCTTTAGAAGAAGACAACATGGCAGACGTATCAGACAGTGACATTGAAGTCAAAGCACTTTATATCTACAATAAACTCATTTTGATTGATTCCATTGGCCAACGCCTAGCGGATGTTATAAGCGTATTACGCAGCTTCGGCAGCGTGGGGGGTTTATCGCGCCTGTGTGGACAAGGAACTATTGAAATGATATGTAAGATTTCTTGCGTTTTCACTCTCGGCTAACGCCTAACGGAGGTTATAAGCGTATTACACTCGGGAATGGCAGCGCGGGGAGTCTATTACAACACACCCGTGTGAACAAAGATACTACCCAAAGTTTCTCGCGTTTTCATTCCGAATACTACGTGGCCTGAAAGCGCCCTTGAAAACGCGTATATGGACACAGGCCTTAAAGGTTCCAAATATACATTTTGCGATCATTTTGTAATAAATTCGTCGACAATTTGATATTAATGTAATTATGCTTTAGGAAAAAGGAGGCCTAGGGGCACGTTCTTTTCATTTAGTTTGTCTACGTTTACAGTGGAACCCCTTCTAAATCGCATCTTAGGTAAACCGCCAGATCGTCGTTTTTGAAAAATCCAGATCGAATCACTATAGAATCTGTATTAGATATACCCCAAACATTCGGGTTTAAGAGATATAGCAATTACCGGACGCGTTAGTTGGTCACCCTTGCAGCTCTTAATACTGAAGTCTATATTCCGCAACTAATGTTGATGGGTTGATGCAATTAGATTCATCAGGAAAAGGAAAAGGAAACTACTGTGAGAGAGGTCGCAAGTAGTAATCTCATCCTTCAAATGTAACACGATCTTTAATTGTTAAAATTAGAAAATGATGTAGTCAGCAGAACTGGATTAATTCGTTTAAATGACGAGAATGGGCTTAGTATATCAAGGGTTAGACTTGTACAAAAATTTTATATGAAAATGATTTAGTACAAAATGTTTAAAATACCAACCTTGTGATTGTTACCGTTACTAAAACTACCAATATTAATGTCTTCATCGTGAAAATCTGAAAAATACAAGAAAACAAGTTCTGATAAGTTAATGGCTATGTATACAACTACAGAAATTGTCATCGTACATGTACGTATGCGTTGCAAGTAGTATGTAGTTACTTTACAGGGAATACTAAAAACTTCTAAAAGACAATATCACAAGAATATATTAATTCAGTGTTTGATAGCAACATCTGTTGTGATAGTGATTCTGATTGTTTCAGATTGTCCTCTTGTAAAAGATGCAGGTTGGAGGACCTTAATATGAGGAAAAAGTTCAGTCCGTGTCAGGTATCGTGTAAGATAGAATGAGCAAGATTATCTATCTGAACCAAAGTGTTAAATTTTATCGTTTCTTACGATGGGGGTTTCGATGCTCGATTTAGGTTCCCAAAATGACAGCATCTGAACGACATTGGTTCTGAGCCCATTTAAAATTCGATACGTCTCGAGTCTTACTCAAACAGATCATAAACAGAGACAATTGTAAATAATATTTCTTATAGTAATCGTCTTACTGTTCTGTCTTAAGTACAGATGAAGTTGTTTTACAAAGTACTTTTCAGTATAAGAGGATCTTCTATTCTGAAGCAAGACAATCGGCAAGGCTATTTCTGGACTATTATATTACGCAAGTGTCTATAAGCGGCTGATATTTTGGATAAAAAAGAGGAAAAATTTCACATCCAGGTATGAATCGAAGTATAAAAACGTGTAGTTTTACTTTTGCATTGGCTTGGAGATAGTTTTGATTCCTCTCCACTTTTGGTTACGAATAAAACTATTATTATTACCTTTTTGAACCAAAAGATTCCCTTTAAATTATCTATTAGACCCTAAGTGCATTGGAATTTTCAAACGAGTTTGAATTTTTTTATATTTAATTGTCAATATGGTTTCAAGGAGTAAACTTACTTCAAAATTGATTTTTACAAAAACAGGAAGCTCGCGTTTGTGTTACGTACATTTTAAAATGTTCGTATTGTACAATCTCTTGAAAGGCCTTATAGTACCCAGATTAGTGTTGCTTTAGGAAAGTACCGCATCTACAATGCCTTAACATCCCCTTTATTACTGCATCTAGTGCAACTGCTATCCAACGACTACGTCATTACTACAACAACAACCCAACGACTACATCATTACTACAACAACAACCCAACGACTAAACCATTACTACATCATCAATCCAACGACTACATCATTACTACATCATCAATCCAACGACTACATCATTACTAGAACTACAAACCAACGACTACATCATTTAAACAACTTCAATCCAACGACTACATCATTATACAACTTCAATCCAATGACTACATCATTACTACATCATCAATCCAACGACTACATCATTACTAAAACTACAAACCAACGACTACATCATTTAAACAACTTCAATCCAACGACTACATCATTATACAACTTCAATCCAATGACTACATCATTACTAAAACTACAAACCAACGACTAAATCATTACTACAACTTCAGTTCAACGACTACAGTATACTGTACATCTACAATCTTCTAAAATACCATTTAATCACTATTGTCTAAAAATTAATGGTGTCCCATTTTATTTGAATAGATGAACTGCGGAGGCCGCAAGCAGGCTAAGTTAAAAGCATTAGAGATCAGACAAGAAATTTGTATTAAGATTTATAATCATATTATAATCCTTATTATAAACACATTAAATATAACAGTAAATTGTCTAGAGTTTAGACTAATAGGCTAACAGTTAGCAGCTGAAGGAAGATAGCTCAGAAATAACAATATTACGACCATGGAATCGGTGTATTCCGCCGAAAAAAATGACACATTAGGCAAAATTATTACAGAAAAAATATGACCTCAATCACTTACTCAGAACAAGTTGCTGGATGTTGACAAATTCATGTTTTCATGTTGCTTTACAATATCAAATAAAAAAGTGTTCTAGTGGTGAAAATATCCACTATCACACATTACACTATAGTCCATTAAGACTATGGATTGCTTTTGAAATGAATTTCACGAAACCCTTTGAAGTTTTATTTAAGTGTTTATACAAGGAAATGATAATTGAGAAATTCTATAATTATTTATAATATTTTTTCCATCAATGGCAAAGTAAATTCCCAAACATAAATGTGTTTTCAAGTTTTTAAATTAGATTTTCACACAAAGGGCAAACCAAATACAAACATGGAACGTTGGTAATATGCAATATAAACAGGCTTTAAGATAGATGTAACCTTTAGATCTCCGGTCAATAAAATAAATACATATTTTTATGGACAGTAACCAAGAGATGTCATGGCTGGTTTTAAATTGTAATTGTTTTTGTGGCTACACTGTGTTTACAATATGTTTACATTGTTTTCTGTCATGTTGACATACTCTTGTAGCGAAAGTGTACACGTCATTAAAATATTTAGTTTAGTTGAAATTGTTCATGTTCTAGGTTGAATATCGAGCAAAACCAAGCTGGCTAACAGTTGTCAGTAAACCCTCCCACGTATTCCTGTCAGAGAGTGACACAAACCATACTAAATGTATTTCAAACCGACAAAAAAGGTTCAAATGTTTACGTTTATCTCGACACTTTTATCAAGAAACAAGAAACTGAAATTTTCAACAAGTAATGTTTCTCTATTTATCTACTGAACGTGACATGAAAATGTAAAGAGAATTCTGTTAAGCAGTTTCAAAGAGAGAGAATTTGAGAGTATTTTATACACAAATGACAAATATATTGTTACCAACATCAACAGTACTGTCCTGATTCGTCTAAGCTAACCTAGCACGCATTTAACTAGCACACACATAATCCTGTAGCGCACATTATTAAATTGAGTAAGTTGCCAATTTGTCATAGGGCAAAGTATAGCAATAGTACAAGACAGAAATAATCAGGGATTAAATATGGTGCAATGATCAGAGCATCTGACATATAATTGCCCGCAACGTCAGCTTAAACCTACCAGGAAATGCCGTTCTCAAGCATCATCATTATAGATACAAAAGCCCCTATCCTATCAAACATAACCAACGCTTTGTGTTACCTGTGGTAAATTGTCTGAAGTGGAACGGATAGTCCACCCAATACACGATACGAAATCAAATGCAATTACATAAATTCTGGAATATGCAGCATCCAATGAACGTTCTTAAAACGCGATGCAAAAATCTTCCTCCTTATCTCCCAAGTTCTTGTACATTCGACTTGTGTACATCATTAAGGTGCGGGCACACGAGCGGTCTTGGTCGGAGATATTTGTCGCCGTCTCGAATCTTGAGTAAAATCTGGAGTGTGATTCCACGGCAAGATTATCGTGCCGTCGACAGGATCTATACTATGTTTGATAATTCTCTCCGATAGTTTTATCGTTTGCAAAACAGACCGTCATCATCCAATCAGATTAATTTTCCTTTCAATTGCATGCTCTGCACGTGATTATCGACATGAAGAAATCGACCGACTGGAGATTTTTGTCTCCTGGTGTGCCCGTGTCAGCCTTTGAAATTCAAGACAAGACTCAAATCGGCGACAAAAATCTCCGACCAAGACCGCTCGTGTGTCTGTACCTTACATGAACTCAGTCTTGGGTTTTATTTAAACTGATATCCGTCATAATATTTAATTGTACCAAGGAATAATTTTTTATTTTAAAGATGGTACGTCCATGTCCTTGACCTAGCTTATCAGAAAAAATATTGGTTCTAATACGTCTATAATGATACATTTACAGTGACATTCTTGTTTAGAATTCTCAGCATTGATTGATTAAAATAGTTAAAATGAGAACAGAGAAACAAAAACAACCCCAAACTTGTCTCATCTGATTATATACTTCTTATAGTGTTATAATTCAACAAGGTTTTCACTTTTAGTACAAAAGTGCAATTATGTCAACATTTTTGTTCAGAGAGAGAATAACCTACGTCGATTTGTGATAAGAGCTGCATTCGACGAATTAGATATTTGCCAACTTGGGAATTGGAATTGGATCCCGGTATATGATGGGTATTTTCACCCTGTCGATTGGGCAGGTCGGAAGGTCTCTGATCTGTCAGCGCAATATACTGATACGTTGAAGACTGTGGTCTTATAACATATACTTCGACAGTTTGACACCGGAACTAATGCCATCATTGCACACTGCATTGCGTTACATCTGTCTGGACATCAGATGGCGGAAGGCTTACACGGGGTCTCAAGATATGAATAAATACTGTATATTGTGAATCAGAATCGACGTCTAAAAGAAATTGCAATTCAAAGACATATTGTAACCTCTTGCGTTCTTGAATGAGAAGGTATTTGTAACAATATCAAAAAAAATTACTTGAAAATCAATGAATGAAACTTTCAATTTTTTTTTCTATTTACGTAACTAATGCATGTCATGAACATCACTATTCGAAATATTCTGGCATCCTTATATTATTTTTCTAAACAGAATTATAGTAATTTACAAACATTTTACTCTAGGATTTTTATATTATTAGAAACGTTGAAATATTGACACAACTAATGGCATAACTCTCTATTTCCGCTATCTCATATTTATATTCCGGCCATTCAAATATTTCTTTACCAAACTAATTCAAGTCTGAAAAAAGGTTGTCAATTGAAATCTCAGAGTGCAATCTGTAAACGTTCATTCCATTCATTGAATACTAGTTTTAATACGCTTAATGACTGAGGTAAACATATGAAATCATAGTAATTATAGAGTTATAAAACTGAAATTTAACAGCCACCAAGGATTCAACCCTTTCAGCAATATCTTGGTTTAAAAAATAAAAGTAATGCTCTAGACCAACACCATTAGAAGACTTCCCTTTAGTGAAGAGGGTCGGAGGTCTGATTGGACAGTAAATCAAGAACGCGTTCACAAATCCATCGACAGTTGAACATAATAAAATATTAAGCAATGTTTGACTAGAGCCTTTTATGCACATTTCAAGAAAAATTTCTGGGTGTAAAACTCTATTTCATTTTAGTTTTAGTC